TTACGAGTACTATTGTTTTTCATTAATATTTTGTCAATTAAAAAAAAGGATTAAAAATTTTTTTATTTTTTAAATATTGCAAAAATTTAACAGTCCAAAAGCTTATCAGTCCAACTGTTATTCCAAATATATAATATATTTTTTTATATTGTAAAAATTCTAATAACCGAAGTAACATTTGACTATAGTCTTTTAAATAATCGTAATAAAATTACAACACTAAAACGAAACTAGGTATGGTATCGTAGAGTGAACATTTCTATATCCACAATCTAACAGATTTTTAACCTTAGACAGGTGATTAAAAAAAGTCAAGAAATCAACATACCGCTATATTAACTATTTATAGTTAATATATTTGTTTTACTTAATTAATTAAATTATACTATAAATAGTATAATAGAATTACTATAAATAGTTAATATATTTGTTTTAAATAATTAAATAAATTAATCAAAAAAAATTAAATTTTTTTTAATATCGTTTATTTATATTTATAAACGAATTATAACCATGACAATTAATTGATGATGACAAGTGTAGATAGATATGTTAAATTATCTAAAGTCCACGAAATAAATTAAGGTATTTTTTTTTTATCTCTCAAGTTTTTTTAGGGAGGAATAAAGTAGTAAAACGACGAAATATCCCTTATTATGAGTAGCAAAAGAATATCTGACCTAAACCGGTACAAGTATAAAAACAAATTAAAAATGACTGAATTGCTATTCAATTACCTATTTTAATGGACTCTGACAAAAGGATGGTTTGGCCCGCTTCCACTTCCTTCTTCCACTGAAGAAAGTGATACGTGATAATTTAACGAGAAAAACTATATCATTTCCAAGTTCTGTAAAACACTAAACACGTAAAGCACTACTTCATCGGCAGATGCAAATCTGTTTTACAAGAATCCTATACTCTACAAGCAACATAAACAATGATTTGTAGACTAATGAACGAAACCCGCAGTGGAGGGTACAAACGTCTGTGATAAGAACATCTTGATTTGATCAAACAAACAAGAAATACAATCTTCTTTATACTAATATATTTGCCGATTGTATTAGCTAATAATAACATTGTTAAAATAATTTGCAGGAAGTTATTGAAATACATTAAATTTTACTACAGTCTGTCAAAGCTTATTAAGTTCTGGAAACTTACTGTAATCTTTGGGCTACTACTGTACATAGTAAGACTTGAACCCACTAAATTTCCCTCTTAGCAACGAGTTGAGAAAATTACAACTATCACACTGTTAAATATTTCTATTTAAAATCGTATTTCAGTAATCAGAGAGTGAAATATACAAAACTTAGTATTTGAATTCAGAACATATATAAGATCGGGCAAGTACTATACAAAAATGTAACCCCGGGGGTAAGGGGTTAGAATACTTTAGAGTTAAGATATACCTGACTCAAGATAGGCACTAAATTCTAATACGTACCACCCAATACTTTTTAGAGTATAAATAGTAGTGAATCAGTACTACTACTATAACTAATAAATATTAACTACTTAAAAGAAGGTGGCTGTGGAGTAGAATGACTGTATTGATTTACTTTCGTTTAATGTGGAGTTACATTTTATCTTTTGTCAAAACGTATAGGTTCAATTGGTTTCGCCGGAAATCCTTAAAATTCGAATGGTGGCGGTTATCGTTGCATTATACTGATATATCTATTCAAATAATCCTTTCCATTAGATTTTAAGATAGACTATAATAAGACAGGCTATATACCTATGCACTGAGGATATAGTGTAACCAAAATGCTTGGAACTTATGAGTTCAAGATTTATTTCAAGATCAATCAAGATTTTAAGTTCAAGATTTATTGTAGAAGACCGAAATCGAAAATTGTTTTATAGTTCTAATAGTGATGATAACATGAACTTTTTGATAATACAATCATAACAATTTGACAAATAAATGATGTTTTTTTGAATATTTAAAATAACTTCAAAAAATAAAGTTATAATAAATAAATAAATAACTGATTTGGTTACATACTTGAGGTAATGATATAAAATAAAAATAATTAATAGAAAACCAACCAACAGTTTTTGATTGAGTTTTACACAAGATTTAATAACATAAATAATTCTATTAACTAAATGTGCACATTACTATTCTAATACTAAATTTAAATATTTATTTTTATAAATAATTATTTTTAGAAATCATTGTTTACACAATTAATTTAATCTAATATATATTATTATACGTCCTTTATTAGCCATCCTTAATATAATAAATTATTCAAACACATTTTCCTATAACTAAGTCAAGGCTAATTTAATGTATGTTATTAACAGATATACTGTATATAATATCCTAAATAAAACTAATTATTCAGACCCACTTTTCCATAACTAAGTCAAGGTTGTCTAATTTTATGTGAAATAACAATTTACTACATATCACAATAGCACGATAACATAGCTAGCTACACTCATTCACAAATATAATTCCATTATTTGCATATGCATCCTAACACCTAATGCCAATACCAACCTATCTAACATATATATGTAGTAAGTACATGCTATATTATCAATTCTATCTGCGAGTAAATAAATTTTCGAATTTTCAACTCTGCGTTCGTTCGTATGACATACAAACTACTAAACAAATTTTCTAAATTTTGTTTTTGTTCTTTTTGGTCTCAATGCAACTCTCTATCAAAATCAGTGTGAAATCCAACCGCATATGCAATTAATACAAATGAACTTTATTTCACATTCGCAGCGACTCATATGCAAATGTTAATTTACATATCTACATATGTTCCCAAAACACATAAGGCATCATGTTAACATAGATCCCTGGCCAACATCAATTGACCATGAACTAAAATTTCAAAGCTAATAAAATTTCGGTTAATAAATATTGCAGATTGCCTTCCAGTATTTTTGTGAATGAAACTCCACTCGCATTCAATGTCATGACTTCAGATACATTCAACCGTACATACGCAACTAACAAACATTAGTCTAATACCAGATTATCTGAATTACGCCAAAATAATATGTAGGTGTATGCGATTTTCACAGCAGCATTTACCGCCATCAAACCTAGGCTGGCAAGCGACAGTGTATAAACAATAAATCCATGGGTGCCATGGTGCAAACTTCGTTCTCCATGCATGCATGCTTGGTGTGGAGGATTACTAATTCGTGCAGCTATTGCCATGGCTATTGTGGCATCGTTAAAATTGAAAATTTCATTGGGCGCAGATATTTGTGTAGTACAAGATACAAGATACACATATGTACTACAGTATGGAGTCAGAGTGAAACATTTCGTATGTAGGCTGTGTGAAAACGAAAGTGCATCACGACATTGCAATGAATAAGGCTCTAGGATATTAGATGTGCTTATACTTTCGTTGAAAGAAATTAAAAAAACCGGAAAGAAGATTTTCACTTTCTTGAGATTGGAAGTGTGAGACTTTAGAATTTAAGTGCGGATCATTTAGACTTAGTAAATAAAAATAAGAAATCAACGTATTCAAATAAGATTGCAAACAAAAACGTGTTCAGAATTATTCTAAACTATTATTTTCTATTACTATAATTTTTATATAAGTCCACATAAACAAGTATATCAAATATGTTAGATAGAAAGAAGTCTGCTACTATATGCGATTTTAACATTAATCAAATAAAGGAAAATCAAACTCTCTCATTAAAATGCCCCGTAGAGATATCAGTCTTTTAGTAGGTTTGCTTACAGGTTATTGTATTTTAGATAATCATGCTAGGAGACTAAATCTCCATTTCAACCATACCTGCCACAGTTGAGAGAACAATGGAGAGAACAATGAAAGTGTCTCCCATTTGGTTTGTTTCTGTTCAGCATTTGCATGATGCCGCCTTATCACTTTAGCGAATTTTTTTTTTGAGAATCTTGGCAAACTGGAAGACCACCCTCTGATAGCATTATAAGCTTTACCAAAGATTCTAAGTGGTTCTAATCCTTGAGTTTTTATGTATACGGTAACCGAATGGATCTAATCTAACCTAACATTAAACAAAAGACTAAATCTAAAGAAATGGTATATTATGCACCAAATAGTAAAGTATGCTTCATATATTGTATTGAAATATTTTTTCTAGAGGGTGTCATTATGTCATTATTGGCATTATGTATTCCAGTTATACTTCTGACTCTACTGTGGATAATATCGTATATTTAAATCATTCCTAGATTTGTGGAAATCGTTAAAATAACGGAGAATGAATTTGAATCAAGATGTAAAAATTTATATGTTAGAACATAATCAAACTCTGTATGACATATATATGTATATATATCTATATACTTATTATATATGTATATTGGAACCTATTAAACCTCTTTAAAGTCAGAAATTTAACAACCAGAGTTTTGACAAGACTGCGGTCCTACTAGTAGAGCTTAATTTGCTCGGTGTTACATAAACAAATTTTATGCAATCATGTAACATGTACTTTGGCATGTTAGTGAAGGAATCCATCAGCTTTGCGTCAAAAAAGATAGCGTTCTTTAGAAATTTGAACTCATATTTGATACCTGTGGAAAGAAATATAAAAAATTCAGGTATTTTATCTAAACAAAACATTATATGAAATGTTTGATTAAGTTGGCTAATGAACACTGACTCTGTGCTTTAAATTTAACACCATACCAGTTCAACCCTGGTATTTGCAGTCACAAAAAATTATTTACGAATAATTAAATATAAGAAATAATTTCAAGATCACTGACGATAGGTATTTGGCAATACTCAAAACAGCTGTATGATCATCCAAAAAATCAATTATGTAAATATGTAAAAGTAAATGAAAATTTTGTTGTTACAATTTACTACTGTTCGAAACCTCTTATTAAATACAACAGTTCCTATTAAGTAAGAAGTCACTACCGTCATAACTGACGTTAAAATCAAATTTAAAACATTCTATGAAATGCAATATTAATCAAAAATAAATTTAATAAATTTTCAAAAATAAAATATGTGAAAAATTCAAAATTTTCGTACCACATTTTCGTCGTTAGGTTTTACCTTTTCGGCAATACAGACAGCGGTGTCAGGAGATACATTTTCTCACATCAGCGTCATTCTAAATTTTTGTATTAAAAATTCTTTAAATATTAAATCATTAGCAACTGTTTTTAATATGATTCCAAATTAATTGTGTATAACACTTTAACCTAACAAAATAAAATAAATAAATAAATATGGCAAAACTGAAGAAAAAGCATTTCTCATACAAGTCCAAAAAGAAGATGAGAGGTATATCCGCTCGTCTTTTGAAGCTTGCACAACCAAAGAAAGTAGTTGACACCCATTTGAAAGAAAATCCATTCAGTGTCAAGAGAAGTGCATTAGAATATACTGGTTTGGATTAATGAAATATAATAATAATGTGAAATAAATTGATTTAAAAATTATTCATTAGCTTCTGACCGAATTTGTCAAATGGCGAAACCTAAGAAATATGAAGACTTTCACACTCGCACAGATTGTTTTACTGTGACAAAAGGAGCTTTACAAGCAACAGCCACTCCACGGTTAATACAACTAGCAATACCAAAATATTCGGACAGATTTGCCTTTTACTTTTGAAATTGACTTAATTGAATCCAAAACAAAGAAGTGAAGATCCCAACAATATTCCAATTAAAATGCAATAAAGTTAAAAGTAAGAATTTTATAATTATTTATCTATTATTGCAATATACAGCCAAACTTCCATAACTCGAACTTTTATAACTCGAATTTTCTATAACTCGAACCAAACACAGTGCACCAAGGTTTTAGAGAGCAAATTACATACAATTCTGCTTCCATAACTCGAACTTCTGTAATTCGAATTTCTCTATAACTCGAACAAAAATTTTGTTCCGTGCCGATATGAATATGGAAAAGTGCATTCTATAAGTGGAATTTTTTTTTTAAGTATAAAAACATTTTGCTGTTACGGGAAGCCCCTTTCTTCAAATCCAATGTTTAATTTTTTTTCTTTCTTATGTTTCTATCAGCAAAGTCGGTGGCAACGTGGTTTAAAGTAAATAAGATAACTTCCAATGCTACTCTAAACGATTATATTGAGCTGGCCAGTCGGTGGGAACGTGGTTTAAAGTAAATAAGATAACTTCCAATGCTACTCTTAACGATTATATTGAGCTTGACAATGAAATTTGTACATCGAGCTTTTCTACAGATGACGATATTATTGAGCAGTGATAATATCGATACTGTTGATGAGGATTTGGTGAATGTAATTGTTCATCAGCCTTCCAAGAATGAAGTAGGAGACTCATTCAAAATTCTGAATTTATATTTGCAAACGAGTGATATTACAACTGTTGATCAATATAAGAGTATGAATAAATTGGAATATCTTATTACTGAAAATAAGAAAAAAATTAAAGTCGTAAGCCCTAATTTCTGAATATTTTACTTTACTACAACTTCTGTGCTTTATTTGATTGCAAATAAATAAATATCTTCAAATGTAATTCTAGTTTCTTTCAAAAATAAAAAAAATTAAAAAAATTCTCTAACTCGAAGTCTCCGTAAGTCGAACCCTCTCTTTGCAAAATTGGATTTCGAGTTATGGAAGTTTGACTGTATTTAGTTTGTTATGTGAGTAGCAATTCAAAACAACCAACTTCGCTAATGAAAAATTATTTGAAAAATAACTTAATGGAAAAAAAGAGAAATATATCTCTCATCATCTAAATTTTTTTGTTAATTTGTTTTAGTTTCTTCAACTTAATTAAGATTTATTAAGAGACAATAATATGTTTTTACTATATCAAGATACTTTATACCAAGAGCATAATCTTAACATTATCCTCACCATTATCATTCATCATTACAGCTTTGGAAGTCATTATTTCGAGTGATATCATAATTCAATTAGTAACTTGTTATCTAAATTTTATCCACATTTTTGTCCACTTATATGAAATTACCGGCATTCCCTTCATGGTAAAAAAGGGAATGTTCATTGCAATACTGTATTTCAAGCGATAACGCGAAAAAAACAATTCCCGCTCCATAGGTATAGGTCCGTTACTAATCTACTATTTACTTTAAGATGATATGATCTAATCATATCATAAACTATATTACAAGCGATAGCTTCCATAACGTGAAAAAACGAATTTTTGCTCCGTTGGTAAGGATTCCATATTTATCTACTCTTTATTTTAATATAATTTGATTTAATTATATAAAAATAATTTATTGGCCTTGATTGCCGATTTTTGAAAATCTATTTATTTTCTATTTATTTTCATCTAAACTTGTTTCCAGATATTTGCGTCTTGCAGTTGAATTAAATCAAAATCGAATTGCTTTCGCGATTATCTCTGTAAAATTACAATTTCTTACCATAACGGCTATACCAAATACATCACATGGGTTAGCTAATAAAAATATTTCCAAATTTTTGAGTCAGCATATTATGTTTCACACGTTTACTGATTTAGAGCCCTCCTTTCCTAACCTGCTTTGAACAAATCTATATTACAAACATTTCGGAATAAGCGGGATGAGCGGGATAAAAATTTAGCTGCTCTATCTATTTTCGTGATATCACAACGTATGTTACCATTATTTAAACTCAGCTAGGTTTTGAGCACAAATCAATCATCTGCTACTATAAAAATAAGGAGACGTAAATGGCGCTGGACAGGCCATAATCTACGCAGACCCAATATACATTGCACGTCAAGCTCTGAGATGGAATCCTTAAGGCAGTCGTCGACCTGGATCGCCGACTAAAACTTGGAGAAGAATAATTGAAGAAGAACTAAGAGAAACGAACTATTCCTGGAGTGACATACTATGCCGTGAATCAAATAACCGAAGAGTCCTTTGCTCCACTGGGAGATAAGGATAAGAGAGAGAGAGAGAGAGGCTTTGAGCACACAAAGCTCAAAGCCCATCAATGCAACCATTTTCTACATGATATAAAGATATAATTTTGAAGCCATTAACTTAGTCTGCTCAACTTTTATAATTATGTATGGTACATGAACTATTGATGGAACATTCCACTAAATATTTTAAATAATTTTTTTTCAATTTTAATAGTTGATTTATTTTATTTAAATAAATTAAATTTAATTTTTAAAGATAGGCATTTATATTTCCCATTTTTCAAAAGTGTTATTTTAATTAATTAATTCTCTTATTCGGCTCATCATGATTGAACCAAGGATCAGATAGCCGATTGATAAATATTTATTATAATATTATTATATATGTTTCAGGTTACTATAACTGTATATATAAAAATTTATTAAATTTTAGAACAAAGAAAGCTTACAAGATTGGAAAAAATTTAAAAAAAAAAACAAAGTAATCTATCAAAAATTATTTTAAAATAATATTATACATTCATTTTATTTTTTTCTTACAAACCGCTTATATATTTTTATAGTTAGAAAAATTATGCAATAAACTGCAACACCGCGAAAACAGCTCTAAAAACCTTGGTAGGGCCGTGACGAAGGTAGAATAGCGACAAAATGCCAGAGAAACCAAAGCAGAAAACTGCGTGGACCATTAAAAGGGACAAAATGCTTCGCTATAAAGGTAAATATACTTTTATTTTGAATAATTAAAATTAGACGTTATATTCTTAATCCTATTGAAAAAGCTTCTGAACGGACTATTAACTTAGCAAAAGCAAGGTATACATCAGTGCGTTTCAAAGATCAACCAAAGGATACGACCTTTGACGTAAAAAAGAATGCATTGAAAGCTAAAGCTTCGGAACGCACCATCGAACTTGCAAAACCAAAATTCGTCACTCCTAAATACGTAAATCCCAATGCAAAGGCGAAATGATCAATATATATCACTTTATTCGGTGAATATATAACTTTATTCGGTGAATAACAATCAAGTATAGGATGGAGCAGATTAACATGCCTACGCTCAGCATTGGTAACATCTACAGAAAATGTCGGTGGATAGGAATGGATTTCGGTAGAGTATTTTAAAACGAATTTTTGCAATTAAAAGTATATTAACCATTACGTATAGTTAAAAAATGTCAAAATGATATAACCATATCCCGAATGTTATAATCATATAACGGCTATCTAGAAATCTGTTTCACAGCCAAGTACTGTATTTTTGGCGTGCAAGTTAAATCCTGTTGTGCTGTTTTGTTATATTAAGGAAGATCGAGCGTCCAGAAATTTTGATCAAGTAATAATTTAATAATAGCAATAATACAATAGATAATTTGGGAGAACCCTATATTTTGAATTTTACATATTAAATACTTTTTTATTTAAATTTTAGTCTTAAAAGGATACACAGATGTTGTGGGTAATATATCTATGTATAATCCTGCTATTTAATTTCGGTAAAACAATTTGAAACTTTCTTTGGCTTTAAATACTAATTTTTTAAACAAATAATACAGATCAATTACCTATATCACCAACATAAAGGATTTACAGTATCTATTTCTTATATTTTACCTATAACGTGGAGGTTAAAACCTGTTGTGATGTTTGTGATATTAAGGAAGATCGAGTATCCAGAAATTTATTTCATGTATGTAAAAATAATTTAGAACAAATCTATTTATTAAATTTTTGTACAGTAAATAATTATTTTTCTTTAAATTATAGACTCAAAAAAGAATACACGGATGTAGGCGGTAAAATATTTACAAATAGTCCTTCTTCTGGATTGGGGTAAAATAAATTTACTTTTTTTTAGTATTCAATACTCATTTTTTTTATCAAATAATAGTTCTGGTGTCTATATCACCAATGGATGTGTAGTAGTCTATTTCCTGTATTATACTTTGGTGTGTAAGTCAAGTCCTGTGTCATTCTTGTGATATTTAGGAATATCGAACGTCCATAAATATATCTGTAAGTAGAAAGCGATTTTATTTTAATAATAATGTTTATATATAAGTTTAATAATTTAATTTGTTTATATTGCAGACAAAAAATTAGAAACGAAGTAATTAAATGGTGACTACAATATTTTTTGAATACAGGAGAAACAATCTAAGTTGTACAATGGACCTGGCTTTCAATCGTTACGAAACGAAACTATTCATGTTTTAATATATTTTATATAAATTTGTTTAGAGCGAAACAAATATAGTGCGGTGTTGCAGTTTAAGCTGTTTTTTATTTTAATATATTAAGTATTTAGAAAGAGAATCTTTCAAAAGAATTTAAAGTTATAGAAATTGTTTTTAAATTTCGAAATATTAGAACTCAATCCCTAAAATATTTAATAAGTAAAAAGAATAGTTGGAGTATATATGACAATATATATGGGAATAAGGTTCCCGAGTTATGGTTCTCAAAATTTTGAGTAAAAATCAATGTGAATAATGAAAAAAAGTTACACAGAATCGTATATACTATTTGAACAAATATCATTTACAATTTTTTTTTAAATATTTTCAATAACAATGTTATTTTAAAATGTGTGGTTAATTTCTCTTCCACCAATAGGCCAGGTAAATTAATACCTTTCAGGCTTTTTAGAGGGTACGCAGTGTCTATTCTGGAATTGGGTTCACGTCTCTACCCTTTTAACCCAAAATTATTATTATTTTATTTATTATTTATATTATTTTATTTTTATTATTTTATTTATTTATTTAATTTTATTATTAATTTATTATTATAAATTATTCAGACGATTAGTGGAAAGCTGGCATTTATTGTACATCTGAATTCTAACTTATAATGACTCAAGCGCTAAGTTCTCTGAGAATGGCAAATCCTATGATTGTGGCTCGATACAAGAATGCCTTTCTGGAAACCAAATAGTAGTTAAAAGAGGATAGACAGCGCTAGAGAGATTTGGTTCCAGATTGGCCTGCTATGATTGCATATGATAAGGATATTTTACATTTGTATACATACATTAGAATTTTGAATATGTATAATATATAATTATCTTTTTTAACGGATTGATCATTTAAATAAGTTGTATATTGCAGATGTGTATTTGCAACTCACTAGGACAAGTCCCTAAAAAAATATACGGATAAAAAATGTGCAATGCTATATCTGACAGACCTATTTCGACATGGTATATCCTGACTTTTCATAACACACATTGCTATAGGTCATATATCGCTATCAAATATATATATATATATAACCCAAATTAAGTATTCATTAAGTTTCCATTAAAACTTGAAATTATTCAATGAAGAGAAAGTTAATAAAAAATACTCTTTACTCTTAAAAATATTTCTAAGAAAAATTAATTTTAATATATTTTAAATTATATGTGTTATATATGTATTATATGAATAAGAGATAAGGAAATATAGTTAATCGCTAGCTTTTTAATACCGTTTCCGATTGTTAAATCTATGGTAACTTTCTTCACCGAGATTCCCTTTTAGTGCGATATACATTTTCGATTAATAAATGTGTACTATGCAAAATGTGTAATACTCCAGATTAATTTATTACATATTATTGAACAATTAATTTATATTATACCAAAGTAGCAAGACTACCTTGAAGTTAACAGCTGTTTTATATGACGATAAATAGTCTAATTTGATTCTAATTTGATATTTATGAAAAATATATCTATTAACCACTACAAAAATATTAGATTACTCTAATAATGTTTGATTACTCACAAAATTTGAAAAATCGAGATTAAATTTATATTGAATCAAGATTTACTAATAGAAAACACCATAAATAAAGATTGGTTTATTTGGTAAAAGTCATGTAGACTATTTAACTTTAAGATAATCAAAAAAGTACCAAACCAAAGTTTGGTTACTAAAACGTACAGGTTCTTTAAGAATTACTCTTCTGATAATTTATCGAATTGCTTATCATATATTTAAAAAAAATAGCGATTTTCGTCTTTTCCGAAAATGGTGTTTAATTACTAATTACATAGTAATTAAATCATTAAAATAAAGAACTAGAATAAAAAGGATTACTGGGATAATATACCAGGATTAAAACAATCCAAATCACTTATTGGTACCTATAACAATAAGAGATACCAGGATTGTATGAACCTATCAAAAGAAAAACTTAGAATCATCACAGGAATCCTAACAGGGCGCTGTAGACTAAAATACCAACTTACAAAACTAAGTATACTTACAGATGCAAACTGTAGATTCTGTGAAGAGAATGAGGAGTCAGCCACACATGTGCTGTTAGAATGCCCTGCGCTAATGCACATACGAAACAGGCTCCTAGGAATGTGTATTCATACGGAAGAGGCAATAAAATTCTGTAAAGTTGGTTCTATACTACTTTTTATAGACGCAATGGGGCTTAAAGACCTACTCTAATCCCAGAAGGGGGCATAATAGGCCCGACGATCGCAGTGCCACATCTCCTAACAATAATAAAACTAATTACAAAAGACGTAGAGGTATACCACTCATTCCCAATCCACCGATTCTACTTTATTCCCCTTCACCTACTATCAACCATAACCCATCTGCATCTTAACCCATGAAATCGTTTTGTAAAACTTTTCATATTATCTGGTTTTAGGACCCAACGGGCTACCACAACAACAACTGTGGAGATCAGCCATTGTTCTACCAACCAATCAACTATTTATAAAATTATTATTTATTAGAATTATATAGAATTATGTATAATATATGTATAACTGCTTTTTTGAATCGTTTTATTGACTATTTTTGTAGCAAATTTTTGAAAATCTTCAAAACGAGACTATAGCAGTTGTTTTAAATATTATGACTAGTATTTTAACAATAATAATATATTATGACTTGTCTAACACAAGTATTTAAAATTATTTAACATTATACAATTTATGTAATTGATTATGTTCTCATGATGAATTTTATTATATTTATGTTCACTCCATGTATGGCTTTTAGCGGTTATTTTTAAAACAGATTTCAACTTTCGTTTACTTATTTAGTATATGTAAGATTAACCAAATTGGAGAGATCGTTGTTAAAAAAAATTCTCTGTAAACAAAGCTTTGATTAATTAATTTTGAATTGAAAATAATTAATTATATTATATACTATACCTCAAATATTTAAATACACATATAAATTTTTGTTCAGTTAAACTGCAATAACCACGAAATGCTGCAGAATCAAAATGTACTTGGAAAGTTATTAAAATTAAATTAAATGATGACCTTTGGTGTAAACAGTAGTTTAATTAAAAAATTAGAAAAAAATAACTCAATAAACTTTTACTCAAATGTATGACCTTACTTATAGTTAAGTTGTATGTTATATATCCTTTTAATTCACATACTTCATATGCGAAGTAAATTATCCTTCATATAGGTTTCAAGCTGATATATCACTTAAACATTTTTCATCTGTAAATAAAATTAGTAAAATGTTTTGAATTATTTGTCTAATAAAATTAAAAAAATATTTCAGATTATAAAATTTCTTTATAAATATTAAATTGATTTTTTCATCTTTAACTAAATTAACTAAATTTTTTGTGCAAAACAAAATTATTAAATATGCTAAACTAGTGAAAAATAGAAAACTAGCTTTTCTATAGCACAGATGTTTGCTAATTGATAGTTGCTAGAAATTTTCATCTACCTGTATGCAGAAATGTAAAAAGGTGAATCCATATGCAGTCAAAGAATCTGCACTACGTTATGTGGGTTCGTATATGAAATATCCTTTTCATGCAGTTTCTATATTCTAATCCAAATTTACTTTTATATTACAGCTACTAATCGCATAAAGCAGTTAGCAAAACCTATAATATATTTAGAAATACCCATTTTAGAAGAATTACCTAAAAATATCAGGGTTAAGCGCAGTGCTCTAAGGTATCAAGCATCGGAACGTATTAAACAATTAGCCGAGCCTAAAATAAAACCAAAAGAAAAAATGAACTCATATAAGGTATTCAATAGTTTATAACTGAATATAGTTTTCAAAAGTGCATTAATAGAAATGATATTTTATAGGTTTCTAAAAAAGCTTTGACAGCACATCCATCGAAACGTATAATAGAACTAGCACAGCCTAAAAAACATAAAGACGAAGTTAAAACTAATCCATATAAAGTGACTCCTCGAGCTTTAAAAGCGACTACTACTGAGAGAGTAGTTGAATTAGCTAAACCGAAATATGTAACAGAAAAATATAGAGCATAAGAAAAGCTAAGTTATGTATCCAAGTACAGAGTTTAGAACAACATACTTATCAACATAATTATTATCTCTTGAATATACTAACACCTGTATATGTAAAGGTGGGATTAGATTTTTAACATCTTTTTCATCGGCAAAATAACAATGCATCAATGATTGAAAATTGTGACGAACTAGATGAAATAAAGAAAACGGAAATTCCATGAACGGTCGGGTGTACGTCACGGAGCCAATCGTCGCCAGCGACGTCCAGGTGCCATTCAACACTCCCCAAGGGACTTCACAAACAGGTCCCAGCAGTTTACAACAACAAGGAAAAAATACAAAATCACGATCTAAAAAGAGTAAAGTTCGATTTTTATCTATAGAGTCTAGATCAACATATAACTGTTATATATATCTATTTATCAGATATGTAATATCCGTTGACTCTCTAAAGCTTGTGTGTGTATCAGTTGGGTTAGATTGGATAAGTTAAAAGTTTAGATGTCTTGATCTGTATTTGACACCTTATTCATCGGTAAAAAAAAGGTTAAATCAATGATTATGAATTGTAAGAGAAGCATAATGAGCTAGAGAAGATTGTTGTAACGAAATGGATCTTTACAATTTAAAAAAATTATTTAATCTCTGATTTGATATGATCGAGTTTATGCTTATTTTAAATTGTATAAATCTCATAAAAGCATAAAAATAGGTAACAGCTGAATGCAACAAATGGATAAGGAGCCCAAGAGCGTAGCGTAAACTACAACTTCCTGCACCAAATATATATAGCAAATAACACCACGGCAATTGAAACTACTTATAAAAATTATTTATATATTCTGCAACATCGAATTTATGACAACAGCAATCTGGTGTATTCTAGTATAGTAAATTCTTATAAGGAAAGCATAATTTATTAACTAATAATTATTAATTAAAAATATATAAACATAAATTATTAATAATTATTAGTTAATAACTTATATTTTGCTTATATGTAAAAATTTGTAAAAATTTGTAAAAATTTCATTAAATCAATTGATGACCAAAGAAAGCGTGTTTTAATTTAAAATATATAAATGATAAAGAGGGGTTGTTAATATTGAGATTATTATAAAGAATCCTGGCTCAAGCAAACATTGAAGTGAACAAACCAAGCAAGCGGAAAAACCTTTCGAAAAATTAGAACCCTAGCAAAAAATAGTGACAGTTGGAAAAGTTCGTTTTGGCCCAATATTCCCCTGGGAACGTACTGGAATGAATATAATAATAATAATATAAAAAATCCTACAAACTAAAACGCTGGAGGATATTTTTTGTTGGTTTGGATATTAAAAGAATAATCTATTTTATTAACCACGCAGATTAGATTTGAAAAATTTGTTTTTTATTCTTATTCCGGAGTGTATTTACTTGGACCCTACTTCGTCGAAAGAGTATAGCGCAATTCAAAACTACTGAGGCTACATAAATAACTTATCACTTAATTGCTAGAAATATAAATTAAAAATGCTATAAATCTAACTACACTGGTCGATTTTTTCTTTCAATAAATTTTGCCCAAATTGTTTTTTATACATACCCAAGTAACATCAGATCATGGTTCCAAGTATAAATGACATTAAAACCTTTAAAACTATTAACAACAACAAACCACTGATACCACTGAAACTGATACCAAAAAACCGAAAACTTATCCAAAAATTTTAGCATTAAAGTAGTTATCAAAGTAAAAGTAGCTTAAATACAGAAAGTTTTTCAAAGTTTTTAGAATAACATTTGTGTTTTCCTATGAAATTTTCATATCGAAAAAGTTACATTGTTCTAATATAGTTTTAAATTTTATAAATAAAAATATTGTACATTACATTGATTTCTTTCTAGTGGATTAAATGCATGTTACGTTGGTATGATATTCACAGTCCAAGAACACAAACTAAACAATAAATAACCAAATAGTCAATTAAACATGTTGATATCAAAATTAAAACATGCAGATATATCTTTTCCATTGTGAATATATAGGATCAACACCAAATCTGATTCTATGCATTGTAACACCTATATCCCTTAGGTTTATATCAATAAATTAAAGTTAAAGAGACACTACACAAATCTGATTCTATGCATTGTAACACCTATATCCCTTAGGTTTATATCAATCAATTAAAGTTAAAGAGACACTACACATTAGAATGGGCTGGCGGCAGTGATATAATGTAAAATAAAATAAGGCATGTTGAATTTAACCTTAAACCAGATGAAAAAATCTTGTTACATCAACGGAATGAAGCCATCACACATAATGGCACTTATGTATGTAGTTTTTGCATAGAAATAGCTGAAAGACGTGATAAGGAGTAGAGCTGACGTTGAGGCACACATTGGGAACGGATATAATTATGTGTGACTAGTAACTCAAAACAAAAGTTGCTATGTCTTGAACTCAATTATGCAAAGACAGGTTTTGCTGCACAAGGAAAATGTTCTTATTTCCGGAGATATTCAGAAGCTGATATAGACATAAAATTTCTGTCGATGAGTTAACAATACTACATCCAGACTTGTGAACTATATATAGATCGCTGAAAAATCTTTAATAGCAGCCTGACTGTCATTTAGAAAGGTCGAAGTTGTTTTATGTGGTTACATGCAATGAGAGCTTAAAACCACTGTATACTCAACACTTGTAAAAAGATATTAAACCACTGGAAAAAATAACTTTAATGTCAATTGAAGCTTTATATATGTGTACATAACTTCCTACTTGTGAGACCCTTCTAAATCTCTGATATTCTTTGGGTCAGAGCACCCGGTTCAAAAAATGCAATTTCACATTGGTTAAAAGCATAAACGCTAACATATTTTCTGTGTAACTTTAATTGTTAACCACAGACACCATGACACTCTTTTACGAAGCCTATCCAGTGTCCAGGACAATCAAAGTTGTAAGCATCTTTGTCTCGTTGTAGCAAATTAAGAATGCAAACTTCTATCTATTTTATGTTTGTATTTATTATTTATTACTCCATTTTCAAAAAGTTAAAACAAAAATTTTTAAATAATATATCTATGAAATCTCAAACTGTTTGAACATATACGATTTGAGACAGAAAACCATCCTTTTAGAAAATTTAAATATGACACAATTTTTACGAAATAAATTATAATTTTTTGTCGATTTTTTAAAAAAAAAGTATCTATGCAATACATGATTGGTTGGTTGGTTGCAGTGGCATATCATTAGATAATTTTCATGTAGCTCAATTATCGATTTTTGCTACCACATTTCTCATAAGAAACCCTAATATAGAAGACTATACATAGAGAAAAGACTACATCTTTCCCGTCGAATTTAGATAATTTAATAGGTCTGTCGTCCTTACCGATAAACAGTCTGATAAACTATCAAAAAAGTATCTTTCAAAAAACCTATTTCTTCTGGAAGCCAATGTCGGGTATTCACGGAGAAAATACAAAACATTTATCAACTCAGGTTAGGTTAGGTTATACCGGCGATCCCTAGGCGATCCATTTAGGCATAATATATAGGAAAAGTTCAAGGTCTAAAACCACCTAGAACCTTTAGAGGAAATTGACTCCTAATATATTAAGTCGCCGCCGTGCATGAGCTGGACAAAAACATAGTAGATGAGAGATACTCTCATCGTCTTTTCCACAGCTATTACAGGTTTGATTGAAAGGGAGTCTTAATCTTCTAGTATGGTTGCCTAGTTCACAGTGACGTGTAAGTAAACCTACTAAAAGACCGATATCTCTACAGAATATATCTCAATGTGAATTTTGGATTTCCTATTTATCAACTTAATGTTTAATAACTAATTACTCTATAAATAGATCTTAAAGTATGCGTGAATGAAAATCTTTTTTGAATATCATCATATGAGATTGAAAATGAGTAAGTTGGCTAATTAACACTGACTCTGAGCTTCAAATTTGGTAGGACACGACTTCCATTTTTGATACTTGCAGTCACAAAAAATTTTGCAAATAATTAAATGTAAGAAACAATTCTAAGACCACTAATGTTGGGTATTTAGCAATACTCGAAAAAGCTGCATGTCAACCAAAAATTGCAATTAATGAACAAATAATAATAGTTTATTGTTGTTATTTACTACTTTTCAAAAAACCTCTCTATTGCAAACAATAGTTTATATTAAGAATTTAGTTTCTTTCACCAAAATGGACGTTAAAATTCAATTTAATATTAAATACTTATAAATCTTATATGTATATATATAAATTACCTTATTGCAACAGTGCACCATGGTCCACAAACTATGTTTGGAGTATTTAACTGATTTGGGATAGTTGCGAAAAATGGAACTCTTTCAAAATGATCGCACATTTGATTTAACTTCTTTAAACCCAACTGACCGTGTACATTCCAACCTGCTGCATACACAGTACCACAATTCATTTGCACAATTGTGTGTCGTGCACCCGCATATACTTTAACAGCAATGCATTCTGTATACTGCTCCCCTTCTTGTCCATCATCACTAGATTTTACACTGCAAGTATTACATGGAGGCATATCAATAATTTGTGGCAGCGGAAAAACTGTAGGTTCTTTTTGACCATTAGGTTTAAAAACACGCAAACCCAGTTGACCATTTGTATTGTGACCCCAAGTATATAAATCACCAAAAGCAGAAATAGCTGCACTATGCCAACCACCGGCAGCTATATGAATTATCTGAAATTTAATTATTTATTATATATTTTTTTTATTAATTAGTATATAAATTATTTATTTACTTTTATACCAGCTAAAGCTTCCAACAAAACTGGCGTTTCTTCAGTTTGTAGCAATTCTTGACCTAGCTGTCCACGTCTACAATAATTTAATAATAAAAATTTGCTTAATTTTTTAAATTAATTTTTTTTTTTTTGAACATACAGACCCATGCCCCAAGCATATATATCCCCCATGTTAGTTAATAGCATTGCGTGCTCAAAACCACAGACCAATTGCTTTACTTTTATATGCTTTGGAAACTCATGTATTTTGCTGGGTATGCTATAAATACCATTTGTGTTACTTACAGCCACATTTATATTACTACCACAAGCGATGTGAGTAAAGGTTTCCACTGTCTGTTGTTTTATTGCACCAAAAATTGTACGTTTTTGTGGCGGTGCAACATTTGTAGCAGCGAATTTTACTTCCTCCAAGTTTGCTTCTACTTTTGCTAGTAATTTGTATATTTTGCCATTCTCCAACAAAATCAAACAAAACTTTTCAGCTGCTGCTATTTGCTTAATTTTGTCGGGAGCTATTATGTTTACACTAGCATTAGGTTTATCAGTCAAAAATCCACACACAAATAAACGATTTTCTTGTGCAAATGCTGTGTAGCTCCAACTGGCTGCTATCAATGTGCTGCTATTTATGACGCACTCATTAAAACCAAACTCTGTTGTTAAACAAAGAAGACAGTTTTAAATTCAACAAATTATGCGTTTTTTAAACAGTTACTGACCCGTAAAATCATGAACTCTGCTAGCCTGTTTGTTACCAAACTGTCCAAATACATTAAAGCCAGTGAATGCTGCTGGTATGACTGCCATCTTTTAATTCACTTCCGCTGGTAAATAGTGAATCAACAGTAACAATTAACGTTGCCTTAGTTACAAACTGCGACTGTATAATGAAGGAATTATTTTTTAGTGGTCTAAATTTATTTGTCAGTTCTTACTTAGCTCTTGTGTTGTGATGTTGTTGGAGGGGAGCGCGCTTCTACAAATACGAAACGTTCCACTTCATTGCGCATTCTAAAACGTGACCATATTATTGTGTTAAAATTGAAATCCGCATATAGTAAACAAATAAAATATGGTGAGTCTATGAATATACAACAAACAATTATAATTGAACAATTAGTTTCTAATTAACTATATTATACAAAAATTTACAATTATTATGAAACCAGCAATTCCTCAGATTCTTTAGTTTGTTTTGTTTATTAATTGTCATAGCAACAAGCGACAAGTGCGGTAGTGAACTGTCAAATGTCAAATTATGCTTAGTACATACACAAACCAATGGGAACTGTTCCCATCGGTATTTTGTTAAGTGACCTATACTTATTTATTTGGTTGAGTACAGTTTTAAATTTCTACTGAAATACATTTCCGTCATTTTATTAAATAATTAAATGTTTATAAAAAACAAACGCTGCGAAATGTAAAGAATGTATTTAAGTGATTCTTTGAAATGTAATGACTAAGACTTTTATTTTACTTTTATGATGCTTTAAAGTAGTAAGCATAATAAATTAAATGTTATTACATTTTAAATTTGTTAAAAATTGTAACAATGAAGAAACGCAAACTTAATTCTTTTAGTTAGAAAAAGAAATATAGTTTAAAAATATTAAATCTATTTAATATTAAAAGAAATATATTTTTAAATATAAAATAAGTTAAAATTCACATATGGAACACGGCTAGTCCGAAACTAGTACATTTTATCATAAAGATAGTTTTAACAATTCAATACAAACATGTCTTAAAAACGTACCCAATTGTGTCGCCCTACAATCGACTCATCCCAAACTAATCCATTCAAACCAGTTACTGGATAATAAATGCACAATTAACCTGTTGTATACTGGATTCGATACGATTGGTTTTAAACTCCTTATCGAAAAAGACGAGGCCTATACCTATATCTTCCTTTATTGTTATCTTCTACCAAAAAGACATAGGACTTTAACATCTTCAAAATTTGTTAATATTTTCAAACATTAATCATCTAATATTATAAAAATAATTTTATACATTATCTAAGTATATTATCCAGAAATCAGTGAAGTATAATTCGTCCAAAGTAATTGTAAACAAGAACAATATAACTTCTAAATCATATTAAACGTCAATTCAAAGATTTTGATACTCTGGCGTTACTTCTTTTCTTAGATAACTCAAAGTGAAGTAGTAGTGCAGATATAATTATAAGACTAATATCTATAAAGTCATCAAACTCTAATTTAACTGAGCAATGGCAACATGTTCAGTGGAGGCCTCTCTCCAAGTTGCATCCATCGACCTTTTATTCACATCACGTTTACATAGATACCTATTATAATGAATCCAACTAACAATTCTCCACACAGATGCAGTATCTTCTTCAAATATTGCATAGCAAACAAACAAAGTGAAGAACAATACCTTTTCCGTGCAACGAGAACTTATCTGTTTTCATGTCCTAATGCACACACCAACTTGAGTCCAATTGAGCTTTGGCTTCATCCCCCACTTAAATGACTAGATTTCGCCGTATTGACTCAGGTTAGCTGCAATTAATCGACTTTAATCCACTCTTTAGTTCCAATTCCTGATTCCCTATCCGTTGACAAATCAAACATTGACTAACTATTTATTTTAATCATACGCATTAGATGAAAGAACACAACAGAATATGCTTAATTCACAATTACTTTGTATTCTCACAAAATCCTGTAATCTGACAAATATAAAACACATTGATTTCAGGAAAATACCATGCATCAATCAGGAATCATATTTATAAAAATGAACATCATAGTGAATCGAAGATATTAATTTTGCGAATGACCGATGTTACCAAGACCTTGACAACACTTTCATTTACCTTTCCTTGACCATCTCGAAAACATGTCTTTAATAATATGACCCAATAGTCAAATATTCAAATTTCAACATTTATTAAAGAATACGTTCACAATGGAACAAGTGACCTAAGTGGATCCAGTAGGGATCGCCGGTTAGAATATGTTATCAAATATCAACGATAAATCTAGCAATTTACTTTTTAACTGTTATTCTATCCCAATGCATTAAGTAAATAAACCTATTATGTGTCCAGTGCAGTACTAGAAACCTCGCCTGCAGTCAGGCATGTAGTAAGGGGTGGGGATTGAGCGCTAACGCATCCGTCTCTTCCAAAATGATTCGGGGAACTGTACTTATGTAAACACATTATTACAATTATTATTAATCAACAAGGCTTATTAATAATTTAAAATGTTATTTAAATTACTGAAATTATCTGTAAACGGCTGAATGTCTCCAATTATTTTATATATATCTAATCTAATCTAATAATTTCTTATTTATATAAAAACTGATGAATAATTTATTCGCATTTATATATCTTATTTGTTAATATATATTTGAATAAAATGCTTTTTACACATACATATATTTATTAAATATGACTTACTACAAAGTTTAATGTGAACATTTTTTAAGGGTCTGTTATCGCTTTTACGAAAATTACGTTCTACCCCAGACAAGGAAGCGAGAATATTACTACTTGGTTTGGACAATGCTGGTAAAACAACAATTTTGAAACAGCTAGCCTCTGAAGATATAACAACAGTAAATTTTCAACTATAATATTCAAACTAGATAACAACTAAATTATTAAATAATTTCATTTATAGATAACACCAACCGCTGGCTTCAATATCAAGTCGGTGGCAGCAGACGGTTTTAAGCTCAACGTGTGGGATATTGGTGGCCAATGGAAAATACGTCCATATTGGAAAAACTATTTTGCCAACACTGATATCTTGGTAAATAAACAAATCTATTTAAAATTAAATAAAATAAATAAAATAAATAAAATTAAAAACTAGAAATTATAACTTGAATTTTATAATTCGTTTTTCCAGATTTATGTAATTGATTGCACCGATAGAAAGCGTTTATCTGAAACAGGCAGTGAACTCTTTGAACTATTAATGGACAACCGACTTAAACAGGTACCACTGCTTGTGTTCGCAAACAAACAAGATTTACCCGACGCAATGTCATCAGCTGAAGTAGCCGAAAAGATTGAATTGGTACGTTTGCAGGAGCGAACTTGGCAAATTCAGGGGTGCTCAGCGGCCAATAACACAGGCATAAAAGTAAGTTGTAACCAAAACCGATAAATAACAAATAATTAATAATCATTAATTGTTAATTTATTGTGATTTCAGGAAGGTATGGATTGGATTTGCAGGAATATTAAAAAATAAAATATTAATTATTTCAAATCATCAAAAGGACTTTAGTTAGTTAAGTAATAGTATATATTTTCTTTATAATATAATTTTACAATATATATAAATATGATTTTATAAAAGCGATTATTAACATTAACAGGCCTAGGTTTTTTACGTGTCCTTTTTGCAATAGTTAAAAAAATGTTTGAAAATGAAACCTACATAATAATTCTTTCTTATATTAGTATTTCTTGATTAATTTAATATATCCACAATATATAGTATATATATTATATAGTATGTAACTCATATAAAAATATTTAATATAAAAAAATAAACAATAATGAAATCTATGTAATAATAATATATAAAAAATATTAATAATATACATTTCCTTTTTTTATTTTAAAAACTCTCTCTAGATTTTTATTTTATAATTTTTTAATATTACAAGTAAGCAATAGAATCTATAAACATTTCACTAGAAGAACCAATACTTATTTGTATTGCTAATATTTCTTTTAAATTACACGAGGTCTTATATGAGGAAAGATTGTTGTCTTTGCAAAAGGCGACCTAACTCTATTCTATGTATGAACAAACGTCAATCCTGTGGCACTTCAAAGGGCCATTATTTGAGCTCAAACGTGATTTTTGGATAAAAGACCGCCACTCCAACCTAAACTAACCAGGAAACAAAAATACATTGTGTAATCAATCAATATACAATCCTTTGAAAACACTCTTGGAGTTATAATATTGTAGACATATCTGATATCAGATATAGTAAAGAAGATAAAAATAACTCTTGATAACTTCATAGCAAATATTTCAATACTAAATAAGTAATCTGAAAACTTGGAAATTAGTTCTGACTTAAGACGAAACCACTTTCTAAGTGAAATCTACAAAATGAAAACTAAATATAATCGTTGTCACACATTGACCACTGGAGACAATAGTTAGAGACGTAATTAGTAGGGAAGAAATCTAATTAAGAAATGCGTGTGCTCTCTGTAGCCGAGTTTGTTAGCTGTCAATGGAGTCAATCATTGTCTCGACAGTTTTATACATGGTTTTGGCTTGTACCCGCAAATGATAATTATGTAAATTTTATTTTTTTATTATAATTTTTAACTTATTACCTCCAATGTACTTTAATTCACAATTAATTTTTCTCATGTTTTCGTTTTATTGAGTATTAAATCATATAATAACACAATATATATTATATTAGGACCAACAGCATGTTTTAGTTTAAGTTTCAACTTAAAGATGAAAGTAAATGATTTTCCGATAAATATAAAATATTGTAAATCACATAGATCTGTACATATTGCTTCACACAATATCTAAAGTTTTACCAGATTTGAAATTTTACATTTAAACCTAATGGTCATATAAGGCTTGAGGCTCTTATAAAAATTTCTTCAATCCATGAAACTAAGTGACACAAAGAAAGCTATTTATATTGACTTTTTAAAATTCTTTAAATCTATTTTATGTGCAAATATTAAATCCTAAAAGACTGTCACAAGGCCGTAAATGATTTCCATTAAACTCTCAGATGGCATACGCTTGATTAGACCTAATTCATTCCATGCCTTCGCTATGTGTTACGTGGCCGTTCGGGTAGTAATTCTGAAAAATTTTTTTAGTGATATATTCTGCCTGCCTGTAAAAATTGTGCACAAACTATTTACATTTACATTTCCGAGTCATTATTTTATGGGTAATTGCAGGTATTCGATTGATAAATCTGGGTTAACTTTTTCAATCGACATTCACTTTAAGTGTAATTTTTATTTTCTATTATTAAATCTATACACTCAAGATTAATGTAAAATACTCGAGATTAATTTGAAACACTCTAGATATCTTGCAACATTACATTGGAATTAACAGCTGTTTTATGTGCCTCAGCAGTTGAAGTGTGATTTTATTAGACATATGCATTTTCAAAGAGTAATGTAAAATACTCGAGATTAATTTGAAACACTCTAGATATCTTGCAACATTACACTGGAATAAACAACTGTTTTATGTGCCTCAGCAGTTGAAGTGTGATTTTATTCGATATATGCATTTTCAAAGAGTAATGTAAAATACTCGAGATTAATTTGAAACACTCTAGATATCTTGCAACATTACACTGGAATAAACAGCTGTTTTATGTGCCTCAGCAGTTAAAGTGTGATTTTATTATCAACGAACACAACTACAAAATTTCCAGATTACTCTAAAAACGTTCGATTGGACAAGAAAATTTGACAGTTCGAGATTAAATTTAGATTGAATCCAGATTTACCAATCGAAAACGTCATAAGTTCTAAATGACAACTGGGTGTTAAATATTGTATTAAGCCAGAACACAACACTTTCATGATGCGACGAAGATTAAGATTGAAGTTTCCTTTAAATAGATAATAAAATAGCTCAGCTGTTTTTAAATAATTTTAGTTTTTATTTTTTTATTACTATTTACATTACACTAATTAAATTAATTAGAACGTAAGATTAAAACTATAACTAAGTACAATTAAAATCCTCCTCTCATACCACAGTAAATTTAGTTTATATTAGAAAGTTAGATACCCCCATCACTTAGTCTTCACAGTTCATTGTGTATGTATTCTGTAGTAACTTTTGCCTCACCCTCGTGAAAACCGCTGCAGTCCACAGGATATGCGGTCTATAAATAAATAATTTTAAAAAAAATAGCAAAATTATGAAATACATAATTTGTTAATATTTCACTAATTTAATTATTTAAATTTAACTTAATGTGTAACAATTGATTTGTGCATGCAAATTAATGAACAAAACTTAAATTATACAAAATTACTTAATTTGCCATTGTACAAAAGTTACTTACCTCACAATTGTATGGTGCATTAATGACACCGAACAGTGTCCAGAATGGTGTGCCAGTTTCAGTGCTAATGAAGAAAGCTGCACCCATGCTACCAATCTTAACTATTTTTGGACTAACACCAGAAATGAGACCACGCGATTGTAAATTTGTTGGTGGATTCTGTTCAACTGAATTCAATTGGCACAAAACATAGCGATCACATTGTGGCGTCTTAGAGATGAATCTATAGGCACGATGCACTTTCAGAACTGGTTCGATAACCTGTTGGTTTCAAACCAAACAAAGTAAATGTATTAATTTTCTATTTAAAGCATAACATCACGCTATGTATTATATTTCTACTGAATTAGATTTAGATTATTTAGATTTCTTTTTCTAATTAATTTACAATGATTTATGCATATAGGTTTTCTTTTTCTTTTTTTCTATTTGCGTTATAAATACAATAGTCTGTATATATAAATACAGACTACTTGTGGACAATTTATTGATATCCGAATTCTATCGTACCTCCAAATTTAACGTATCGGTCAATTTATCACTCAGCTCGGTCGCATTGAACTGCAACAGACCGCGTGCTTGACCCAATTTCAAGAGTTCTTTGGCATAACCAACGGCCGGTTTCACGTACTGCCGTGAATCGATCTTCACATTCAAATGCTGCTTAGCCACATAATCGAAAAGGTTCGATATTGTTTCACTAGCGCGGCTCGTATCGAAATAGGTATTCTTCGGATAACCTTGACTCTTCAGGAAGCCATTGAACATCAGTTGTGCAGTTTGGAAGTATCTATAAGTATAAAAATTCGTACATAAAATACAATGTTTTAAAACATAAAAAACATAAAAATCATCAAGTGAAATAATAAAATCAAAAAAAAAATTGGAATAAAAATGTTAAAAGAGAAAAGTACAGTAATATTGGGCGAAATCTTTAAGGTAAATAAAAAGAAACAAGTGGAAGAGGTAAAGAATTAAAGTGAAAGGTTTTTTTCGGTTTTTAAGCCAAATAAATATTTGATGAGTTTTTTTTTAATTCTTTAAATTTTTTTATATATTTTTTTTTTATATTAGTATAAAAAAATGTACCGGTAGAAAGTGTTTTCAACTCATTGTCATGCTGAACTAACAACTTAATGATGATTTATAATGACGATTATTATAAAGAAGACGCCTACATTTTAGTCGAACTGCATATTTTAAAGAATCGAGTCTTTCAGAAAGACATTAATTTACTTTCAATTAAAGAAAATCAAACATTTTTCTTCATTTTTTATATAAATAAAAAACATAGTGATATAAAAGCAGACATAAGAATTCAGGTCGAACTTTGATTTATAATTAAAGATGAAAAAAGAAAGACTATTATGGACGTGTGCGAGTTAGGCTAAGTTGATGCTAAACCAAATGGGAGATTTTTTGGGATTTTTTGCACTGCACACATTTTGCCATTTATCAACACGTATCGACACATCAATACATTATCGACACAACTTAGAGTTTCCCTCATTTAGGACGTGTGCGAGTTAGGCTAAGTTGATGCTAAACCAAATGGGAGATTTTTTGGGATTTTTTGCACTGCACACATTTTGCCATTTATCAACACGTATCGACACATCACTACATTATCGGCACAACTTAGAATTTCCCTCATTTAGAACGCAACTTAGCCTAACTCGCACACGACCTTAGAACGCAACTTAGCCTAACTCGCACACGACCTATATTAACTTAAATTTTAAGTTAAACATTAATATTATAAGATACGAATAATAATTGATATACAATTTCTATATTCTATTATATATTTTACGTACTAGCATATATAGGAAACGAGATAGTAAATGCTCAGTTATTTGATATACAATACAGGAGACATTGAATACAGAATGATATATGGTATGTACATATATCCTTTCCATTCATTTTGAAATTAAAATATAATATCTTTATTCTATTATATATTTGACTTACTAGTATAGTTAGAAAAAGAGATATGTGTGTATTATAAATGCTTAATTATTTGAAATGCCATAAATAAGACATTAAGTACAGAATGATATACATATATATCATATATATATATATATATAAAATATATATTTAAATATATCTAGTATATATATTTTTTAGCTTAATTGTTTTTCGATTTCGTAGAAGCTTTTTTTAATTCCATCAAGAATAGTAGTGAATAGCAACAACAGAATTTTATTATTTTTAATTAATTGTTTTTTGGCTGGCCGTACAGCTGTTTCGCTTATTGTCAAATACCCATAGTCAGTGATCTTTAGAAATTTTAAAGACCACTTATAATTAAATAAAAAATAAAAACAAAAATTTTATATTTATTAATTATTAAGGGTTATTAGTTACTAAATACATTCAAAATTATAAAACAAAAATAAAATGTACTAAATATCTCAAGACCTCAAAAGAAACTGTGAGGTCTTGATTTCACAGCGGTAATAGCTGTGAAATGAAACGATCCACTGCTGATATATTGTCGTATTTTATGTATACAGATTAGAATAGCATAACGTTAAATACTTATATTTTTTATTTTAATTTATTTATTTTAATATAACTTATTCGAAATCTACAATATACTTTTGTTATAGCAAAAACCTCAACTGTTGAATAAATAATTCTGAAAGTTTTTTATAATTATTTATTTAAATTAATAATCATTCAAATAAATATATAAATAGTTTACAAACGTTTGTTAGATTTTTATTATAATATTTTTTTAAATTCTATTTTATTTTGTTATATATGATTTTATTTTTAGTTTTTTAATTAATTTTATTTTAATTTATTTTATTTTATATCAGTTGACTATATTTATATATTTATATTTAATTATAATAATTTCATGTTTCTATTTTTTTGAAATGGCTTATATGAATAAAATTAAAATGAAAATAGAAATAAAAATAAAAATAAAAACTAATTTAAAATTTTGGATTTTATTCACATTAATATAAACATTTAAAAAAGCAAACTCTCAATTATTCTTAATTAATAATTTTATATTAATTTAATTATAATTTTTGTTAACAAATTATTTACGTCTTATATAACATCCAACACATTCTTCTCGAAAGCCTAGTACTAATATCCATTTGCGCAAAAAAATTAATAATATATTAGTCTTTCATATGTTAATGAACGTATTTTTATATGGAATTTTATAGCAGTTTTTCGTGCAAAATGGACGTTAGTTCCAGGGTTAAGAATTCAATCCTCAAGTATGTTAGGTTATTGAGGTGATTTTATTTATACACTAGAACTACAGCCATACCGTAGTCTGTTGGGTTACTGCTTTAACAGACAAATTAATTAATTAACTTAAATATGAATTAATAGAAAGAATATGAATAATATTTAATTTTTTTTGAAAAATATAATAATATATGATTATTTCATGAGAAGTGCTTGTTAAAAATTGCCATTTTTTTAATTTATTAATTAAACACATAGTTTAACTATATTTAAAAAAAAATGATGTCAAAAGAAAGTAAAAAATAAATTTGAAATAATTTTTCCAAAATAATGAAGATAAAAATTGAAAGTTAGTAAGAAAAGTAAAGCCAAATTACTTTCATTTAATGAGAATTTCTTTAAATATGTCATTTTCGTTTCTTTTTTTTATAATTTAACTAAATGACATTTAATTTTTGGAAAATTTCAACCTTGAAATTTGTTTCGCTTTGATAATCTTCAGTGAAAACAATAATAATTATATCTTTTTTTGGTATATATAATAAAAATAACTTGAATTGACAAAAGTAAATCTTTGAGAAAAATTATGTCGCAACATTTCTTCATTTATTTTGTAATTAATATAATTTAAATTAAATTAATATTATTAATATTGTTTTATGATTTTATTTAATTGATGCATAAAAATATCTACGAGTAAACCCACTTATTATTAGATATTTTTAATCCTTGACTTAATCAACAAACAATTAAATACATCTCAAATAGATATAAGTATATGAGAAATAGATATAAATCGGAAAAGAATATATATTAGAAATAGATACATATCAGAAAAAGAGAGATATCACAAACGTCAGAAATATATATATATCACAAATAGATATATATCAGAAAAAGTTATATTTAATGTGAAATTATTTAAATGTAATACAAAACAACTTTGATGTGACTTAGATTGGGTAATTTCGATACAATCTAAATTTTCTCTTGATCTGTCAAATTTTGGTGCCTAATTGAATATTTTTAAAGTAATCTAATATTTTTGTAGAGGTATTAGTAGACATTTATATTTTTCAGAAATACATATATCGAATAAAATCACAATTCATCTGCTAAGTCATAAGTCATATAAAACAGCTGTTAATTTCAGGGTAAAACTGCTACTGTAGCTAAATATCTAGAGTCTTAAAAATTAATTTCAAGAGTTATATATTTCACTCGACATTTGAATCTTTATTAAAAAAGTTTGTCAAATTTCTAGGGCATCACAATAGTAAATAGATAGATGTCACCGAGTGACATCTCACCTAACCTTGTCAAAATTCTATATATTATTATTTACCAATTTATTTTAAATGTTTTTTTTTTGTAATTTACAAAACATTTCATAAGTCATACGGTTCCAAGTCAAGTACAGCCTTGTGTCAGTTGAATGCTGGGTGTTAGTTTCAAATTTGCGCCTTATTTAGAAATATTTAAATACAAGAATTAATTCCAAAACTACTGTTGATGGATATTTGGCAATACTCAAAAGAGCTGTGTGGTCTGCCATAAATTAAATTAATCAAAATATAAAATATTAATAAATAAAATATTTTGTTGTTGCAATTCAGTGCTGTTTGAAACCTCTGTACAAAATATTTCACTAAAAATTCCATCTTTCGTTCAGGTTCCATTATTTTAATCAATTTAACAAAAATGTTATTTATTTAATATCAAAATGTTAACATACAATAAATGATAAAAAAGATTTTGCAAAAATTTACATAAATAACGGGAAAAGAGTGCTAATAAACGATTAACCTAATTTTCACTCTTTATATAATATATAATATATGTATATTTATTTATGTACTTTTTTATTATTGTAAATGGTAAATGTTCTGCTTCTTCTTTTACCTTCTCAAATTCTGAAGAATTCTTTTCGCATAAGATCATTAAGAGTGCGAAATAAACATTCGAAGAAAGTCATAATGAAAATACATTAAAAATATTCGGCGCTTACACGCCAAGTACATACGAATTCGAACGTTTAGGGCAGAGAAGACTCGTAACCTCAGTGAAAATAAAAACGAGAAATTATGTAAATATATATATTATGGTCATGTATGTGTAGATACATCACATAGTAGAAAACATGACTAACAAACCCAATACGTAGTACACATACTTAATTCAACAACAAAATATTATAATTTTACTGGCCAAAAATGCAAACCATACGTGCCTTTGACCCAATTTTCAAAGCTTTACTCTTTCTTTCGTCGGTAACTATTTTGAGTGTTCACTTTTAGCGCTTCTCCCTCTCTCTCTCTCTGAAACTTCTTATTGTGGAAACACGTTAAGTATTTGATTAAATCGTGATTCCTATAAAAGCAAAATAAACATTAAAGTTTCACGAAGTCGGTAAGCTAATAAGAATAACTGTAACACACACCCAATAAAAATAACTTAAGCAGAAATACTTGACGCAAATGCAGAGCATATACAGCACGATTGGACAGAGTCCGGCGACTTACATACAGACAGGCATACCTATTAACATGCGGGTTCTAACAAGTTGGTAAAGTATGAAAAACGCTACCGAAAAAGTGTGTCACAATATTTTTTTCCTAAAATAAGCAGAAGAAAGAAATTGAAAGAAATAGAAGACGACATAACCATAAATTTAAGAGTTAAAGAACAAACTCGTTTGTCGTATGCTTCTTTGTAGACTTTGTAGACACAACATCACACAAGTTGCAAGACTTATGGATTAAAATACTGTCAGTAACCAAGCTTAACTGTTATTTTGCTGTTTACATAGCTGTGATTAAAGCTGTGATTAGCAAATTCACTTCAAAATAGCTTAGAAAAATAATAGCAGTTTTTTTTAAATATGTATGACCTTACAAACAATAGAATATTAAATATTTTATTTGTAAATAAAAAATTGATTCTATTATGTGCATATAGTGTTCTATTCTTCCTGTACTTCCTGTATAGAATAGTAAAAGACAAGATGAAATGATTTAAAAATGTATAAAAACTATATAAAAGATGGCATCTCTTCTTAAGTATGCAAAACTTTAAAGATCTCATAAAAAAGTTCCATAAAAATATCATCACATATCAGTAAAACTTGCTGACGGAACTCTATCACATAGAAAATTATATTGAGACAATGGGTCTTGAAACAACTGTGAAAATATGACTAAAATGTTGCACATCTACTTTATAACTATCTACCACACGCAAAACTATTATTAAAAATTTTTTGAACTTATTTTCTAGTTAATATAAGTAAAGTCCATAACCAGACGTTAATAGCGGCTAAGACCCCAATCAAAGTATTTTGCATAAACTCTTCTCAAAACGCAAAACGCGTAGCATTTCTTTATACATTATGTAGCTTATGTATAGCATATATGTAATATATATATTGTATATATATAGTATAGTATATTGTATATATATATAGGTCAAAAGCAATACCGAATTGAAGTCCTATACTTACAGAGCAGTTTATGATTCGTTCAAAATGCGTAAACATCCCTAGGTTTTTGACGATATTATACTTGTCCAATAGGCTTAAGTAGATTCAGTCGATTATTGTAATAACCGTAACCTTATGTTATAATATTCAAAAGTTCTAATTTTATAAAAATTACTTTTAATTACTGTATTAGCATATCTAGTCTACATTACTCTTAACTTTTGAAATAAAATATATTGTTAAATTTATTTTTTATTGAAAATCAAATCAGAATCAAAAATTATAGAATTACAATATTGTAGCTACATTAATCAAATGTCTGGAGTTTCGAAATAAGAAGGCATAATGTATAACTAGGTATGTAGGTTGGTCGGTCTTGTATCCAAGAAAGCCCACTTGAGCTCAAATAATGGCCCATTGTGATACCACAGGAATATCTTGGTACTTACATAGACTGAAAGGTCAGTATACGACCAACGCTGTTAAAAATAACGACTCCCCCATTAGGTAAAAGAAAGCTAACCTGACAGTGAATTTGATTATAAATTTAGCTAAGTCCATAATAATTCAGGGACTATAATACAATGTAATACTATAATACAATGTAATACATTGTATTATAATAAGTATAGAATAATTATTAATCATTGGGCGTTGAGATGCTAAAAGTAAAACCTGGTTTACTAAACAAAATAAGCAGCACAACAATATTCTAGAGAATTCCCAGAGAAGGGAGTTATTAAATACAAGGAAGTTTTTGAACGTTACAACTGTTATTTCATTACATCGTACCTCGATGGAGTTTTATTTTATGATTTGCTCGTGTCTTAATCTATTTCATTGATGAAATAGCTAAGTCCAAATAGTTATAAAAGATTTTCACATATTTAATTCTTTACAGACAATATATTGATTCTATCATAAAAGGATCGACAACATGGTAATGTATATCCGTTGCCACTAAGAATATTTCTTTATCATCATTTTAATATATTGAGAATAGAAACTATACTAATCTTTACCTAATAACAAAATTTAAAATATAAAAATGAGACTATAGAATATTAATTTAACGTTTATAAATATGCAAAATATTTCTTTTGTGTTCCTCTTATAATGTAAAATCTTGTTAATAAGAAAACAGTTAAACTAACTAACTAAAACCAATTCATTTTATTACGAATATACAGCTGTTCTGACCTCATTTAGAAAGTAGTTAAAAATTAATTAAGACTAGCACGAAAAAGCAATAAAAACATTTAATTAGAAGAAAAGTATATTACACTTACTTCAGGTAAACCTCGGGATTTGCCAGGTAGCTAGCCCAATCTGCCAAATACAAAGTGGCAGACTTAATCCAACGTCTGCGGAATGATTGGTTGTTTAGAGATTCGAACAATTTGTCGTAATCGACTTTGCCATCACGACCTTTGAAACCCTGTCATAAAAGATAATTTTTGTTGTTGCAAAGAAGTTGTTCACGTGTATTTTAAACACTTTATTACCTTAAGTATTTTATTAATGCCGGATTTCTCATATAATGCGTCTGCTAATTCTGAATTTGAAAAATGATCCCACAAAACGTGAATGTGTTCTAAGAACGGTGGCAAAACCCAAGCATGATCTTTATGCTTCTCTTGTGTGTGTTGTCCTTCAGGACCAGCGAAAGAACTAACGGCTTGCATAACAAGTGGCAACAAACTCATCAAACCATTCTCTTCCGGTTCAACTTGATTACTAGCACTGCCGCTATTCACAGAACGCTTTTGTGTATGATGTTGCTGTGCATTATTGGAGTTCATAAATACTGAAGCAATTTGGAGTATGGAATCCAAACCAATACCAGGTGAACCATTTGATTCACGCTTTTGATTTATGTTACCATTATGTGTTGCATCATCTCCATCATCACTGTTTGTAAACATTTCTATAACATTACTAATAATAGACGGATCAAAACCACCGCCACCGCCATTACGTGCATTATTATTGCCTGCACTTGCTAGTAAACTTCCAATACCGGATAGAATTTGCATAGCACCAGTAGCTGCCTTTCCTTGACCATTACCACCGCCACCATTTGACTGCATAAAACTACCGATCAGTGAAGCGACTCCTGCAAGTCCAGCACCAGCTCCACCACTGCCACCATTTCCACTATTACTATTTTGATTATTTAGCGCTTCCTGTATAAACATAGAGGCCATATCTAACAAAGGATTCGAATCATCTTCAGCACCTGCGCTGGCGCGGCTCGGACGTTGTGTCGTGTGGCCAAAGGATATATTAACACACAGTAATGCCAACAGAAATATAGCCTTTTTTATAAGCATTTTCAGTATATTTTTTTGGTGTGTTTTTTTAGTAAATTCTATTTGCTTTTAATTAAGTAAGTAAATAAAACTTTCACAAAATCGCTACACTCTAGATGATTTCCGTATTAAATTTTGACTTGGTTTAATTCACTCAAAGTTTAGAGCTTAGAATTTCTATGGCTGAATGCTTTCGCTAACACTTAAAAGTTGCAAATAATAATTTTTTCTTTTTTGTTTAAAACTGTTGCACTTTAGAAATCACTTCAAAAAAAAAAACTTAAAGTTAAACGATGTAGAACATCTGCAACGTAAGACGAGCCAACTTCACTGCAATTTAAAAACTTTATATTTCTTTTTTTTCTTTTTGTTAACTTTTTAACAGTTGTCAACACGTCTTACTTTACCAAAAACTTTCTTTCTTCTGATCTGTTAGTTGAGTTTGTTACTCTTCTTAAGCCGCCGCCAATGTGTTCAGATTTTCTTACTTCAGGTATAGAACAACGAGCAACGACGAACGACCGTCTCTGCGCAACCTCATACCGCCTAGCAACAATTTTGTTGCATGCGATATGTTGCAGTGCGCATGCGTGTCTGAAACTTGTTCGATGTTTATTTAAACGCTTGCGTTATGGCTGTTGTTTTTGTTGTTGTGTTTTGTTGCTACCTTGTATGGTTCTTACCTACTTTCTTTTTAGAATTCTTCAATAAAAAAAATTTGATATTTAATGCAAAATCAAAGTACAGATAAACTAAAGTCTTTGCGGATATAAGAACTTTAAAACACAAATCAAGAAAATTTTTTAATTTTTTATTTTAAATTTGGCTTTACCGAAGCTTCAATGCCCTTCCAAAGAAGGGTTTGAAGTTTTCTATAAATCTATTAGTTAGCATTTATTTAATACTTTTTTGAAAATGAAAATGAAATGCCTCCGTATAATCTCTTTACTTTATACTGTTTAAGCAATGAGAATTAAGTATTTCCTTATAAATCTATTACTTACCATTTACTTGACGTTTTTTTAACAATGAAATTAAAATATTTCCATATAAGTATTTATTAGATATTTTTAAATTGCATTTAAACGTCAGTTATAACGTTAATTGACTATTTTACTTAATAGAAACCAAAGAAGATTTTACAAAATATTCTGTGATAAAAACTATAGTATTTAATAGAGCGGTATCGAATCGCCTGCAACAACAAAAATTTTTATTATTTTAATTAATTGAAATTTGGCAGGACACAAGTTCAATTTCTGGTACTTGCAAGCCTCAAAAAATTATTTACGAATAATTAAATACAATAATTACTTCCAAAACCACTATTGATGGGTATTTGGCAATACTCGAAACAGATGTTTCAGCCAAAAACTCCATTAATTAAAATAATATAAAATTAATTTTTGTTGTTGTAGTTCACTACTGTTCGAAAAACCTTTTTATTAATTATAATAATAAAAAAATTTTGTTGTAGTTCACTACTGTTCAAAAACTTTTTATTAAATATATTTTACATTTTTATTCTATGTTTTAGTGCAGCTATTTAGCATCTTCTTGTTCTATTTTTCAATTTATTCCGTAGTTTTAGTGTAGTTAGCTGGCACTTTATTGGAAATATTATATTTCATTTTATATCACAGATATTGAAGAAAATGTTATCAAGAGCTGGTCTACTGCATGCAAACAATGTAAAGGGATTAAAAGGAGTTAGTTTATAATTTAGTTTAGTTTAGTGCAGTTAGCTGTCACTTTATTCGAAATATTGTATTTCATATAATAATAAAGATGTTGAACAAAGGTTATTAAGAGATGGTCTAATGCGTGCGACCAAAGTAGATGGATAAAAAGGAGTTAGTTTAGTGCAATTAGCTGGCACTTTATTCGAAATATTGTATTTCATTGAATATCAGAGATGTTGAACAAAACGTTATCCAGAGCATGGACAACAAATTAGTTCCACTGCTTACGACCAATGTAAATGGAGGAACGAGATATTAGAATAAATTTTAAAATGATTAGCTCTCACCACTACATTTGATCAACCACAATACTGTTTTCAATCATTTTCATATAAACACTAATTATAAAGTAAAGTTCAATATGTTAGTACCTAATAAACTGAGTGAAAAAAATTTAATGGACCGAATTTTCATTAACAGATATAATTAAGTAATTATTAAAATTTATAATAAAATGTTAGGAAAAGCGAAAAAATATGCATAACAAATAAAATGAAGCTACATAAATGGTGGGAACACGGAATAATCAGAAAGCAATATGATTTCTAGGGCTACTACTACTACTGCCTGACTAAATGGTACATTTGGATTTCTATTAGCCACTATTATTGAACTTCAAACAAGAAATTGAAAATAAATTTCGGAATTGATTAAAAGAATAAATAGGGCTTCGCAAAAATTTAAGAATATTGACTGAAAAGCTCTAATGTATCGCCTTTTTAAACCTGATGTTGCACCATCAAATTATCATTTTTTCCGATATTTACCGATTTATATATGCCATAAACTAAAAACTGTGAAAACACTTGTTCAATTTTTAATGATATAATCTATGATAAGAACACACTTGCGTTTGATGTAACTTAGGTTAGAACACACCGGTGATTCTAATAATCCATTTACGTCTATTGGTCTATTGATGTTATCGTATAAGTATTCAGAGATTTAAATCCTATTAAACGTTTGGTAAAGCCTAAAATGCTCTTTAAAGAAAGGTTCTAGAACTGGCCAAAATGTTCAAAAAAGTAACATCCAAGCATAGTCACAGCAACAAAGTAGATGTAAAGCACTTTCATAGACCTTCCACAGCTGCGAAAATAAAAATTAAACGAAATCTTCTAGTATGGGTCCCTAAACGGCTTTAATCCATCAACAAACCCACAACAGAACTTATATATTTACGAGGTATCTTCATGAGATTGCTGAATGTTTTCTTGACGGTCTTCTAATAACAAGATCGGATGCTGTGAATATATTAACAGTGACTTAATGAATATCACAAGACTTACTGTACTTCGCTCTGGTTACTGGTATATAGAAATAATGCAAATAACTGTACCTTTTCATAAATACTCTTTTTAGAAGTTATGAATACTTTTACTGGTAAGAAACAAGCAAGTATTTCATCTTTGACAGCCGAGGTTTGGATTCTAGAAAAACAGTTTTTTTGAGGAAGAACTGTTTTGACTGTTTGTCGGACTGTTCATCGATAAGGACGAAAGATTTATTAAATTATCTAAGGATTATTTATATATATAATGAACATTGAAATGATTTTTGGTGTCTTGAAGTCTTAGTTTGTGGTAAAAACATTGAATAAATTTGTATATTGTGTTAATTGATTTTAACATCGGATACTCATAAAATAGTTATCAAAAAATATATTCTATTGAATGCCTCTAGTATAGCGTGAGGAGATTATTAGATGTTTTACGCATATATAGTAAAGAGCAGTATGATTATTAAAGAAATACCATATATCACTTATTCGGGTTATAACACGTATGATTATAACACCTACAAGGCCTGAACAGGTCATGAGAAAATAAATTTTGATCTATTTTTAATTTTTCTTTTAGCCATGACATCAATCGCTTGCAGAAATGCATGTTTACTATTGGAAGGAATTTCAAACTTGTTAAAATAAAACCACAACTAAGTTGACAAGCGCAAAATGTATCATTAAATCAATTTGACTTGCCAGCTAAATTGGTAAGATGCCGGTTTTCAATGTATCTATTTGCGCTTTTACTTTCACTGAAGCAATAATTTGCTAGTTTTCCAGCCACAGTTGAATGCAAACGAAAACTGAAGCTACAGTTTTTCAGCGAGTGCTGCCTAAAGCGGATGTCCAATTTTCACATAACAAGTGCAAGAGTTAAGAAAATTTAATTTCATAGAGCAGAAGAAAGTATGGAGATCTCATATAAGCCACTGGACAAAGAAATATCAACACGTATCGATGCCTTGTTTCCGAAGAAAGAATGTTTTATTGAGGTTCTACCGGGCAGTGTAGTCTTGCCGCGTAAGTTTGCGGATGTTGGTCAGTCAATTAGAGAACTGCCCACTTTTTCAGACGATGTATGGTTGGTCTCGTATCCACGTACAGGCTCAACTTGGGCTCAAGAAATGGTGTGGTTGCTGGGAAATAATTTAGATTATGAAGGTGCCAAGCAAATGCAACAAATTAGATGTCCACTAATAGAATTGTCTGCATTATTTAGCGAGGACCACCACGAATGGGTAGCGTAAGTAAATTTCTATAATTCATATAGATATTGCAAAAATTTAGAAAAATATTGCTTAAAAACTAGCAATTCGATTGGAAATACAGTTGATGTGGTTCGTAACACACCGCGGCCACGATTTATACGTTCCCATTTGCCTTGGCACTTATTACCACAGAGTTTTGAAAGTGTGAAACCTAAGGTATTTAATCAACTACTTACAACTATTTTCATTTGATATTATTTCTTTAAACACCTTTGAGAATACAGATAATATATACCGCTCGAAATCCCAAAGACTTGTGTGTTTCGTTTTATTATTATTGTAAATTAATGCATGGATTACATGGTCCTTTTGAAGACTTCCTTGAACTTTTCCTAGACGAACGTTCACCAATCGGTTCTTATTGGAATCACGTTTTACCATTTTGGAAACGTAGTCAGGATCCTAATGTACTTTTCATCAAATATGAAGATATGAATCGGAACTTACCAAGCATTGTACGGAAGTGCGCAAAATTCCTTAACGTACAATACGAGGTCACCGATGAGAGTTTAATAAAAATTTGTGAACATTTAAAATTTGATAAAATGCAAGTAAATCCAGCTGTCAACTTAGATCCAATTTTAAATAACAATATTTTTAACAATAACAACAACAACAATAACAACAATGTGATAAATAATGGAGATCAGCATAGAGATAAAGAAAATGGTGATTGTAAGTTTATACGTAAAGGAAAAATTGGCGATTGGAAGAATTATATATCGGATGAAATGTCGAAACGCTTTGACGAATGGATTGATCAGAATACTAAAGGCAGTGGTTTAATATTTGAATATGAATAAGTTATTTAAACCTGTTTTTGTTATTACCTTTATGAAATTTTAACAAGGAAAAATTGAGTGAAATAAAGTGTTATATACCTATTATATATGTTACCCCCAGAATTTTATATACATATACAAATTGTTAAGAAAATGTTTGCAAACTTTATAGAATTCAGAATTGCATTGCAAATTTTTAAAAATTTATGTTGTAGTTATATTGTATTATATATATCTTTTATGCGTTGAAAATATATTGTGACATCAATATGAGAAAATAATATCAAAAAAAACAATACAAAAAAAAATCTTGTAAATATTTTCTTAGCTTATACTATATATGTAGAAGTTAGGTTAGGTAAGGCGTGGCGTGGTGGCCTTGTGAATCAAAACCCACTTGAGCTCAAATGATCGCTCGTTGAAGGACCCTCAAAAGAACTGCTTTAGTCAGCATATAAACAACGCTGTAAAGCACATTTTCATCATTCAAGATAGCGTGAACCAACCTGACAAGTCTTTACGCTATTAAAATGTTTTAATTTTTGATGTAAAGCAGAGCTAAGGTTGTTGGCAGATTATCTAACCGATTATCTTAATGAGAGTTTTATCTTTATAAGATAGATCAATCTGAGTTATGATTGACTCTCTAAATAACATTCTATATGATTCGAATTTGATATAGAGAATAGAATATATAGAATACTGATATAGAGAATACTGATTCGTTAGCTCTCATATAATCCTGATATTAAAAAAACCATGATATTTTGTTGGCATTCGTAACGCTGAATATCCTCTCTTCTGTTATAGTCAGTCCTGAAAAGGTCTGCTATAAACTCGCCACATCATTCTAAGGCAAGCCGTGGACCCTCTTATCTTCTATTTTTTTTATAATCGTAAACTATTACAATTTACAGATAAAACTTTAACATTATATTGCAATATATTTTTAAATAACAATGTTGTTTAGTTAGATCAGAGAAAGCAGTATGCTGGAATGCCTTTATCTACTACTTTTATCTGCCGATATCAAATAATCCATTTTTGTCTTTATTCATAAAGCTGTATTTCTGCTCTTCTGTTAGAGTCAGTTCTTTAAACAACTGCTATAGATGCACTATTCTGATCCATTGGGAGACAAAATCCCTGTTTTTTTCGAATTTTATTTATTACAGTGAACAACTGATACAATTTACAAGTAAAGTTTTACATTATATTTCTGAATGATAATATTTTGTAGCTCATATTTTGTAGGTATGCATGGTACCTACGGTAAGTATAAAATAAAGGTGAAGCAGTATGTAAGCTTAAATGAAATTTATAATAAAAGTAAAAAATTTCTAATTAGCCAGTATAATTATACTAAAATATATTTAAATAAGTACGAAACATTATCAGAACAATATCATAAAGCTTTTAAATCTACTCATTTATTTTATGATATGAAAAAGCAGTCTTCAACGGAAATTCCGTGGTGTTTTTAGCATCCATTTTTATACTATCATAATATTTTATCAATAACTAACTCTAAGCAATTTGTAGAATACTTTAATTTTAATCAAATCGTTTATTTCTATTATTTCTATTATCTATTCTATTCTATTCTATTATGACGTTTTCGATTGGTAAATGTAGATTCAATCTATATTAAATCTCGATCTAGATTGAATCCAGAATTACCAATCAAAAACGCCATTCCATATATCGAATCAACTCACACTTTATTTGTCAAGTCATATAAAAGAACTGTTAATTTCAGAATAATCTTGCAATTAGGGAGTATAATCTGCAGTATTATACACTTCGCTCAAGATTTACCAATTGAAAATGAAAATTGCACTAAAAGTAAATCACTATTAAAAAAGTTACCCAAGATTTACCAACCAAAAATGGCATTAGTATCATTTCTAGATATAATATAAATTTTAGCAAACTACACAATTTCGAATGCCCGAAAGATATATATTCTCACTGCAGACTTTATAGACATTTCTGTACTATGTGCAGACACACATTAATTTCGCAAAAATCTAAATTTCATCTTCGTTTCAGCGAAATTGTTTTTTCTATACAAAATTCAATTTTGAGGTTAGAACGAAATTAAGGAAAATGGCCTTAATTTCGTGAAAAGGACACTGAAATTAAGGGACATTTCAATTGCAACTTTGCGTAAGATAAATTTTAAGCAAAAGATACAGTTGAGATAACGAAAAAGATCATTTTTTAAATAAATGTCAATGACAGTTGATTTTAATAAAACCGGGAAATATTTTGAAACTAGTGCAAATTTTCAAATTTGAATATAAAGAAAGAACTGTAATTGTGAGTGAAAAATAATAATTCACATACTTGAAATCCACTAAAGCTAATAAAACTATTGAATGCCATCCTTTATAGCTATAATAATCAACTATTAAAATTTTCCAGACACAAATAGTGTCTGATCCATGTAATTTTTAACATTCGATTTGTAAACAAAAAACATATGATTTCCTTAATTTGGGGCAGTATGAACATTTTCGAAATTAACTTAATTTCATTTTTACGAAATTAAGGAAATTTGGCTGTCTGAACATAGTATTATATTGTCCAACTACTGGTAATTATATTCTACAAATTTTTGAAGATACCCTCGTCTTTATAAATTAAATTGTTTTTATGCTACCTTTTTGCTCAGTTGCTTTCATACATACAGTTCATACAAGAAAATACTACTTTTTTTGCTTTTTATACAACACAAACACAATGGAACACCTAAAATGCATCATCAAAAACATTTGCAACAACGCAAACAAAGTAAAGACGACAAAGAAAGCGCAGATGTGAACGGCATTATTGTAAAATTAATAACAAATTATAACGAGTTTTTAGCATAAACAAGTTGTTTGGTGCTTTGCAAATTATATTAAACTTTTAGAAACGATTTTAAATATTATAATAAACGCCTAATTTCGTATTTAATTAATAGCTAATAACAAAGCGCGTGTGAGTGAGTAATTAATTGAAAATATATTGAAATTATGATGGCTGAAGATCAAGTTGGAATACGCGTTGAACGCGCGACAAATACGGATGATAACACCGATGCATTCGGTACGGTTGGAACGGGGGTTTCCAGCAGCACTAACTCCTCGGTTGGTGCTATTGGCCAATTAGCGAATGGTCATAATTATGGTGGCAGTGCCTACCATAAATATACAGCAAAAATGACAACAGACCGTCATGCGTCTGAGTACAATATGCGTCATAAGAATCGTGGCTTAGCAATTATATTCAATCACGAACACTTCGAGATACCCACACTAAAAGCTCGTGCTGGTACTAATGTAGACTGTGATAATCTAGTACGTGTGCTAACACAATTAGATTTTGAAGTTAGCGTGTATAAAGACTGTCGTCTAAAGGAATTGACTAGATACATAGAAACTGCCGCACGTAAAGATCATAGCGATAATGATTGCATACTAATAGCGATCCTATCGCATGGTGAACTTGGTTATATATATGCAAAGGATGCACAATATAAACTGGATACGGTATGGAGTTATTTCACGGCACAACATTGTCCAACATTAGCAGGCAAGCCTAAACTATTTTTCATACAAGCCTGTCAGGGTGATCGTCTTGATCCTGGTGTTACAATGAAACGTGCACAAACTGAAACGGACGGTGAATCATCAATGTCGTATAAAATACCAGTGCACGCCGACTTTCTCATTGCATACTCTACAGTACCGGGATTCTATTCTTGGCGTAATACCACACGCGGCTCATGGTTTATGCAATCTTTATGCGCTGAATTGGCCGCTAATGGTAAACGTCTCGATATTTTAACCTTACTTACGTTTGTTTGCCAACGTGTTGCTGTTGACTTTGAATCTTGCACTCCGGATACTCCAGAAATGCATCAACAAAAACAAATTCCATGCATTACAACAATGTTGACACGTATACTGCGTTTCAGTGATAAAATACCACCAGCGGGTAGGGCCTAATCGAGTATAGCCTAATAGTATAGACAAAATAAACCCCAAAAGAAATTATATTTACAAAACAAAAAATGATTAACGAGATTATACCATGTATGGGAAAAAACAGAACAAACTAAATTATATGTATATTGAAATAGTTTATATACATGATATAAAAAAAAATATTTTTTTATAAATCTAGTATCAAGCATATTTATACTGCCTAGAATAAATAACAATTATTAGCATTTTTCAAAAATTATTTTAAAAATCTCAATATTTACTTTTGAAATTTTTATTAATCTCTAAAAAATTTTTTATTTGAATTATTTTATTATTTTTAATAAAACTAAACATTCTCAACTATTATATGAAATTAGTATGTGATTGTTCTTTCCATTGTACATTGCATGCCATTTAAAGAAATTTTACAATGTTAACCGGTCCAAAGTATGTCCATATTTTATATATTTAAAACAAAAAAATGTATCTCACCTATTCTATGCAACAAAATACATATATATATTGTAGTTTTTAAGTAACTTTTATATAACTATTCTATATATAATTATGTTTCATACAAAATGTATTCATACTTTTTTTTTCGAATAAATGTGTTTTAGTAAATGAAAAGTGTTAATGAATTTAATTACTATAAATGGAAAAATTCGAATCACTCAAGCTAAATACAAAGATTTATTTTGAATTAATTTGATTTAAATAATTTTTAATAAGCTTGTTTGAAAATTGATTAAATTTTTTTTTTGTATTGTTGGCATTAAAATAATTTTGTATTTATTAATTAAAAACGACTTATGTAAATTTAAATATTTTTGAAGTGCAGATTCTGTGGAGATATTCGACAAAAAAAAATAGATAGATATGAATTTCATCTACACCACAGTAATCATTTTGATCTAATTTGCTATACTGTTTACAAAGCTAGTAAGCATTGTATATAGATTAACTAAACACTCGTGTTTTGAGTTCGTCTTTAAACTAACTTCATTATTCTTTAAATTCCTTAATTAAACCAACGCGAAATTGTCGAAAATGATGACAAGAATATCTTTATTCAGCAAAACTCGGTGAACTAAGCATCCTCACGAAAACTGCCAGCTTACAGTTTATTCCGTCAGATTAGATTGTACTTGAGTTCCACATATGAGGTAGTCATAGGATATGTTGCAATGAGGTGCTATGACTATCTATTTATGTGTTTAAATAGGAAAGCAAAGAAATCTATTTTTACCGTATGACTAAGATATCATACTAATCAGTATGATATCTTACTACTACCCAATATCACAGACAAGTCATACACAGATTGCGAATGCAGAACAAAAAAATTACTCCCTCTGATTTCATGGTAGCCAGCTCGAGTAGCCAGCTAAAAGCACAATCAGCTTTGAATTGTAGAACAATTAAGTAAACAAAAGCTGTGTATAACACAATGATCTTAAGTGTTCTAAACACACGAAAGAGCTGTTGCAGAACATTGTCAACATATAAATCACACAAGCACCCAAACTAGCAATATGGATAGAAAATATAGCAACAATTTCTATACTATATCACACACCTTCTCATACGCACATTCAACAGCTCTTTCGTGTGTTTCGAACACTTATGATCATTGTGTTATACACAGCTCTTGTTTGTCTCTTAATTGTTCTTCAATTTAAAGCTGATTGTGCTTTTAACTGGCTACCATGAAATGAAAGGGGGTCATTTTTTTGTTATGCATTCGCAACCTGTATATTATTTGTCTGTGCCAATATGATATCTTACTACCACCCGGATTATTATCTTACTACTATCCAGTATAATTTTTTACTACTACCCAGTATGATATCTTACTAACACCCGAATTTTTATCTTACTACTGCTCAGTATGATTTCTTACTACTATCCGGATAAATTTCTTACTACTACCAAGTATGTAACCGTTTTAACATTTTACGAATGAATAATTGAATGATTTTTGTAAGTTTTTTATACCTTAAAAGTTTTTTGAACAAACATATATTTTAAATACACCGACAAGCTTCAATAAGATTAAAATCAGTTTAATGGCTCATTCATATTAAAGAATTACCTTCATTGTCTTTAAAACATACTTTACAAACTAAGGTCAACTGGCAGGAAAGTTATCACATACTCGGTTTATTATAAAATAAAGTCTTTAACTATGTATACTCACAAATAATACTATCGATAAGAGTCTGCAATTAATCTCTAGAATAAAATTCAAAAAAAAAGCGAATTCATAATGAAAATTAATATTTTCATAATAAAGCCGATGATATTTAATATTGATAAAATTCTTTATATATTTAGTTTCAACGCATTTTTTAAATTTTAATTGAGGTGTTATATTTAAACTATAATAGTTCATATTTTAGTTACAAAAACAGTTTCTCTTAAAATTATATCATTTGTGTAAATTGCCGATAAAAAAATCATTCAAATTCACAAACAAAAATTAAAAGTAATTTAATAAATGCACTTTAATATTGTCCGTAGCATATTTATTTTTAAGCTTCGCACATAAATTAGATATGACCACCTTCTTTCAATTTGGCAATCAAAGCATCTACATCGGCTACCACAGCACCAGCTTGACGTACAGGTGGATCTTCAACGGATATGACGTCAATGCGTGGAGTTGTGCCAATACCCAAATCTTTTGGTGTGACTTTCTTTAATGGCTTCTTTTTGGCTTTCATTATATTAGGTAGTGTTGCATAACGTGGAGTATTTAAACGTAAATCAGCACTTAAGACAGCAGGTGTTTTGGTTTTAATAGTCTCCAAACCACCATCGATTTCACGTGTTATTGTTAGTCCAGAATCAGTTTTTTCAATTTTATTACAGAATGTCCCTTGTGGCCAATCTAAAACAGCTGCTGTCATCTGTGCAGTTTGGTTACTATCATCATCAATAGCTTGTTTGCCAAGTATTACTAAATCAGCTTTCTCATCCAATGCCAATTTGGCCAATATTTTTGATACATGCACTGGTTGTAAGAGCTCATAGTCTTTACCAGAAACCTCTACATGTAACCCACGATCTGCGCCCATAGCCAATGCAGTGCGTATAATTTCCTGAGATTGTGTTGGGCCAATTGATACCGCGATGACTTCTGATGCTAATTTTTTCTCTTTCATCTTAACAGCCTCCTCCACAGCAATCTCATCGAATGGATTCATGGCATGCTTGACACCTTCAGTAACAACGCCTGTTTTATCAGGCTTAACACGTACCTAAAATATTTAATAAATTAATAAAAAAAAATATACTGATTACGCAAAAGCAACAGTTGATTGAAAAAATTAGCTAATTTATTTTTAAATAAATTTTTTATACGTACTTTAACGGCATAATCGATAACGCGCTTCACACCTACTAAAACACGAGCCATTTTCTAAATTTTATTAGAATTTTTTGTTAATAATACTTAACTAATTTAATTAATTAAATTTAAGAACCCACCACTTGAACTAATGTTCAACCAGCACCAGAAACGTAAAAAAAGTCCAAAGGTTGTGTGATGTTGCCAACATCAAAACAACTTTGTTGAAGTTTGGGGATATTTTTATTGTAAAAAACAGAAACAAGACATATCGTAATGTTATTTTTATATTCTAAAATTCAGCGAAAAAAAAAATTATTTGCAATGTTTATTTTTTATTTGTTTAAATTAGTTAAAAACCATTGAACATTAATTAAAGATAATACATTATGTTTGTGCTGTCAAATCTCTACACCGCAAGATTGATGCGGTCAGCTGCTACGGTCTCCAAAACAATACAAACGGAAAAAGTTAACTTTCGCAAAGTTCAGTCAAACCATAATATATATTTTAAAAATTATTGTAATTGTAATAAAATGACTGTTCCGACTATAATGCGGGTAATGGCTTTATCCATTACAACTGCAAACCGTGCTGGTACCATAATAAGAGATGTCATGAAAAAAGGCAATTTAAATATAGTAGAAAAAGCAAGTAAAATAAAAATCTCAATGATAAGGTATTCATGTAACTTTCTAAATTTATTTGTATTAAGGGCAAAGATGACTTGCAAACAGAAGCCGACCGTTCGGCACAACGTTGCATAATTGCATCTTTAACAAAAGAGTTTCCAAATATAAAAATAATCGGCGAAGAAGGTGGTTCTGACTTAAATGTTAAAGATGATTGGTTAGTTAAGGAATCCGATGCAGAGTTTTTAAAACAAAACTGTCCAGAAGAACTCCAAGAATTAAAAGACGAAGATTTTGTTATATGGGTAGACCCACTTGATGGCACATCTGAATATACGCAAGGTTAATTTATTTATACTACAATATTGAGTAAATATATACTAACAGTAACTTTTGTTCCAGGGTTCCTAGATCACGTTACTGTACTTATTGGCGTAGCAATTAAAAATTGCGCAGTGGGTGGTGTAATACACCAGCCTTATTACGAAAATGATGGTGGAATGTTAGGTCGTACCATATGGGGCCTAAAAGGTTTAGGTATAGGTGGTTTTGTACCTTCTTATCCGCCCGATAATAAACTAATTATAACCACAACTCGTTCTCATTTCAGGTATGTTAAGTGCAATTAAACTAATTATTCAAAGTAGTGCACTTTAATCAATCATGAAGTCATGAATCAGTCATTTAGTAACAAATAATAATTACTCTTTAAATTTAAAATAAAAATTATTGAATGAAACTTATTAAAAAAATTCAGCTCTATAACTTCTTAAACTAGATTTATTCACATTTATTTTTTATTTTAGTCCAAGTGTACAAGCTGCTTTGGATGCGCTAGCGCCCAATGAAGTGATAAAAGTTGGTGGAGCTGGGTTTAAAGTGTTACAGTTATTGGAAGGAAAGGCGCACGCTTACGTATTTCCTAACCCAGGTTAGTAAAAGTTTAATATTAAAAGTTTTTCTTAAATTATATCAAAGAGATTAATGAAAAATAGTTTTGGAGTTTTCAACTATTAATACATAATAAAATATTGTAAACAAAATTTAACGAAAAAAAGGTTTTGGAGTTTTCAACTATTAATACATAATAAAATATTGTAAACAAAATTTAATGAAAAAAAAGTTTTGGAGTTTTCAACTCTTAATACATAATAAAATATTGTAAACAAAACTTAACGAAAAAAAAGTTTTGGAGTTTTCAACTCTTAATACAGTATAAAAATACTCTAATCAAAGTTTTATTTCACAGGATGTAAAAAATGGGATACTTGTGCTCCGGAAGCAGTGCTGGAGGCTAATGGTGGTACCCTTACAGATATGCTTGGCGACCACTACTCATATAATGCCTGTATCGAATTTCCAAATAAACGAGGCGTTTTAGCTACAAACGGAAAAATCGATCACTGCGAAATACTGAAAAAAATTCCAGAAAGCGTATTAGAAGTTATGCGGAAGTAAAAATGTACGATAATTTGTCAAAACAATTAGAAGAAATATATTTTTTATAATTTTCTCGCGTAATTGAGGTATTTACGTAATTATAAAATCAAGTATTTCATACACATATACTGGGCTATTATAATTTCTATTTACTTTAAGATATAGCGAAATAGTATATTTTTTATTTATATTGTTTAGTTTTTAAGTATAAAAATTTGGATTCGGCTATAATACTTTAGAAAAAATAAAGAACTAAATTTTGTTTTTAAAAATCAAATTTTTTAACAATTAAAATAAATTCAAATAACTAAAAATAAAATAAAACGTCTAACTACTTTACAAATTGTTGATTAATTTAAGCTATTCATAATATTATTTGTAGAAGAATTTAAAACACGATTCCGTTTAGCCTTTGTCATTTTACACGAATTCACTGAGGCTGCAAATCGTAGTGATTTGAGTGATTCCACAAAACAATCTTGGAAAGGAGCTACATTGATGAACATTAAAGTTTTAGAGTTTCCACCTAACGAAGGCATTAGTAAATGTGTAAGTTTTGAGTTTCTGTAAGGGATATGATCTTGTTTTTGAAGCAACGCTAGTATAACGTTAGTCAATTCTGAGAGCGATCGATTTATATTCTTAGTCTCAGTCATACGTGTGCTTGTTTTAGGCGATTCTGAACCAGCCAAGTCAACTAAATTTATCGTACCAACCGACATTTCATTATTATCCTCATGAATACCGGTTAATTCAATTTTGGTTACCGCATGCGAACGTGATGATCTTTCGTTACCGACTGTAGATGCGGTAGCACGATTCATTTTGGCCAAATTCATAAGTTCGCGCAAACGAGATGCTGTAGTCACAGTTTCCTCTGTAATATTGGATACATATATGTCATATTTATTATTTGTGGCCATACGAATTTCCATCTCCTTTTGCTCGTTACTAAGAAGATCATATAAAACTTCATTATAAATCTCTAGAAATGTTACTTTTATTTCGTATTTCCATCCAAGCCGCTTGTAATTCTTTATTGATTCAAATAACAAATCTACAGTACGTGGTATAACGCCTGGATTAGATTGCACACCATCCATGGTGTAAGTCTTCCCGCTGCCTGTCTGACCATAAGCAAAAATACAGATATTATATCCGTCAAGTGCTGATTGTATGAGCGGTGATACCATTTCAAATATTTCAGATTGTCTGGAACAGGGATGAAATACTTGGTCAAATCCAAAAGTGTGACTAACTTTACCTTTAGTGGCTGCATCGTTTTGACTATAGATTTCCAAAGTAGCTTCATCTAGATAATTCCAGCCACATAACATTTTATCCTCTTCACATGGCAGAGATGGACGTACACGACAGAATACTCGTATATTCCCTCGTAAGTCCATAACCATATTATGCAGCTCTTTACGTTCCATGTTGGAACGAAATAATTGCTCTTTGCTGACTCGCGATTCTTCCGTTAACTCTGTAACGGTAATTGTGAGATTATTTTTAGTTTCCCGCAATTCCACCACTTCCGTAGACAAAGCACTATGCTCTTTGGAAATTCTCTGAAATTATTAAACAATGGTAACATATATACATTACATTTTCCGGTATATAATTTACGTAGTATATATTCTACATTTTCAACATTAAAAAAAATATGTGCATATATATATATTTAAATGAAACTTACTGTGTGTTCCTTCTCTAAATTTTGTAGTTGCTCTTTGGTTTTAACCAGACTGTTTGACAGCGTTTCAATTTTCATTGCTTGTGACTTTACTTGTCGTTCCAGACATTGTATATCAGTTTGTGCGTTTTTTAATTGTTCTTTCGTTTCATATAACTGAGCTTGTGATTCCTCTAACTGTTCAGGTAGAGTTTCCATTTCACCCATTAGTTCACATTTTTCTTCATGGTTTTGTTTAAGCACTTTATATTTTTCCAATAAGTCATTGTATCGTGCTTTATAGTCATAGGCAGGAATACGTTTGTTTATCGTTTTGCCAGGTCCTGTGGTTGAGACAGAAGTCACTGACGAGCCTGCTGGCGTTGGCTTTTTTGAGACTACATTTGAAACCGGAGCACTTGCAGCACGTTTTGTTGTTTTATGTATTGCAGAAGTAGGATTTGATGTGGGTTTCTTAATTGAAGCTGTACTTGTTGCGTTAAAAGTATTCATACGTGCTGGACGAGTTATAACTTGTGTACCTCCTACTGCTGCATTTGCATTTATATTCGCTAGACGAGAAGACTTTGCTGCTATTGAACCGAGTGCCACATCATTACGTTTTAAAAAATTCATTTCTCGTAAATCACAAGCAGATTTGCTACGACGTAACTTTGCTCGGTTTTCAGTTGTTGGTTTTCTTAAAAATTCAGGTGAAACGCCACGATCTTAATTTTAAATATATATAATACACTTTTATAAATTACTTTACAGAAGTAACATACCTCTTTTTGTGAAATTACTTGGTATATTTGATAAATCTCTGGAAAGTGGCTGATAGTTATTTGGCGGCAATGTAGAATTTTGTATAGTTTTAACTGTTCCAAACGTGTTGGTTTTGATTCTATCTGTCGGTATTCTAGAAATTTGCAAGGGACGTTTAAGTCCAGATGGTTTTGGTAGTTTTGATTCCATTGCTATTTATAATTAATGACATAAACCCAAGACACTCTCTACTGTACAAAACAACTTTCAATGATTCTAACAAGACGCTATAAAAATTGTTGCCCGTTAATTTGTATATTCGAAATTTAATTTCGAAATTAAGTGTGTTCGCAAAATTGCTTGTAAAATTCGAATACAGCGTTGCAACTCCATTTTGAAAACATATAAATTTTATGGGCACACTGCTGTTGTAGGATTGATGCGCACTGTATTAAACCATAACTTTAGATTCAATTGCCTTGCTTAAAATTATTAACGAATATATGAAGGATACACAAAGTTATGTACATGACAGGTTTAATATAGATTTTTATAATTATCTATTGTTATTGCTGCATTCATTATTTTTATTTTTTTGCCGTCTCAAATTAAGACAATGTTTTATAATAAAATTATGAACAAAAATTTTAGACATTGTATTATAAACTATTTGTATGAACACTGGTTCAGTAAACCCACACACATATTACTTAATATTTATATTACTTAATATTTATTAAGTACAATTCACCAATAGTAATAAATTAACTAATAGTTAAGATCAGGGTTCGTATTTGCTCACTCATGAGCAGCTCAGGCTCAACGAGCTCAACTTTAATAAAAAGCGATTTACTAGTTTATTTGCTTTATTTATTTTTATAAACGTTATATGTAAAAATATATAATTTCATATTAAAACAATATAATTAAACAATAATTTGAATTTGAAAAACAAATTTATAAATATTATTATTTTTCACAAATAAACAATAAAAATATATTTATTATTTATTTTAGGAATTTGATTATGTCCATATTTTAGTTAGTTCAAGGTAATTAATATTTTTAATCTTTTTAATGACATGTTTTCACAAAAAAAATAATAGCAAAATCTTAAATTGGGCGCATAAGATCTCATGAGCCGCAGCTCATGAGCTGCACCTCATACTTTTGCTCACGAGCCCATTTATAACTTAATGGCGGCTCTTGCTCGTGAGCGTGAGCTCTGTAGTTGGGCTCGCTCGTGAGCGTGAGCCATCGTATGAAAAGAGTTTTTTGCCGCTCATGGGTACGCAAATACGAACTCTGGTTAAGATTGTGCTACTCATATCCATGTTTAACAAAAAAAAAATATAAAAAAAAAAATATAAAAAAATTGTAAATATTTTCTGGATAAGTTTTTTACCCAAACCATCGAAAAACACCGAAATTTTTTTTAATAAAAACGGTAAGAGATTTTAAAATAAATAAATTCCTAAATATTTGTCCCTTTATCGCAGAAAAAATTTTAAAAGTTTATTTTATGAAAATGGTAAGAGTTTAGAGTACATGGATTGTTATTTACTTGGGTTTACTTGGTAGAAATGCGAAGCAATGGTTACAGTATAATCTTTATATTATAATTATTACAATTGAATAATTCTAATAATTCTAACACTTGTAGAAAATTATGAAACTAAAAATCATGTATAAGATAAATAAAACTTATTTACCTGTTTTTTTAACTAATTGAGTTTTATTATATGAAATACTGTTATTAATTGCTACATACCAAGAACGTCGTTCCTTCCTCTCCTGTGTTGTATTCAATTTTGTTTTAGATGTATTTGTTGTCTAAATTGAATGTCTCGTTTTCGCTGTCATTGCCAATGTCAAATATTGTCAGTGTAATGAAAATGGATAGTCATATGATGTCATATTTGCATTCTTGTCATGTAATAAAACCGCATTTGACACACCAGTCAATTATAATTGTCATTTATAATGACATAGTGAAAACAAAGCATAAGCCTTCTGTATGTATTTGTGAAAACTATAAATATCGATTAACAAGACTAAAAATATGTTAGATTACTCTAATAATGTACGATTGAGCAAAAAAATTTGAAAGGTCGAGAATAAATATATATTAAATCCAGAATTACCAAATAAAAACGTCAAAAATAAAAACAAACAAAATAAACATATAACAAAAAACAAAATAATACAAAATACAAGAGATTTTACATTACTATCTATTATTTGAAACAATATTTATATAATTTGTAGATTATGGTCAAAAATTTTTTTCAGTGTATATGCAATTTTTATTCTCGCATTACATGCGAATGTCAACATTAACATCATTAGTTGTGAAATTTCATAGGCATCACAAACTCGTGAAAAATTAAAAGAGAGTAATTAAAAATTTTAAATATTTCGGTTTTGTTCTACTTAATATAATACATTTAAATAAAATTATATATTTAGTGTGAATGAATTTACTACACTAAGTTGTATTGTAATTACGTCGCAGATAATTTTGACCTCCATTTCTCTGCCTGTTGTTCGAAATAAATACTTTCCAGTAAAATAAAGAAAAACTTATGCAAAAATAGAATATTTCCAGAAGAAGAAATGTGAAAAATTATATTTATTGAAAATATGCCGCATATGTTCATTCCGAATGCATTTTTTTAAATATGTAAATTTAATATATTTCCTTTTGACAAATTTTTCTTTGTTG